TGTGAACAGAGCCAAGAAATGCCATAGGAATACATTGGGATGCTTTTTTTGGTCCGGGAATAAACTGTTATGGTCTGTACATGATCCGGACATGGTGTGAAGGCATGATGTGAACGCTGAACTGAATGCAAAAAAAATACCAGTGATGGTGAATCCAAAATTTTGAATTCCCACCAGAACATTCATAAAGGGGAAATCTTCCCATGTAAATACTTGTCCCTCTGCCAACTTTCTAAGAGGGGATATCCTTCACACTGGAAAGATAACCTCTCCAATCTTGTTGAATCTACGGGACAGTAAATGAAGGGAAATCTTCCTAATGAGATACCATCCCCTATTCTATCCACAAATTGAAAAAAAAAAACGATACATATACTTAGGCTGGATTCACACCTGGGCGTACGGAATATGTGCGTTTGCACCTCGATTTGCGGTAAAAGAGGGCTATTCGGCTGTATCCTAATGGATACGCGCGACAAATACGCCCCAAAGAAGCTCCTGTACTTCTTTGGGCGTAGGGCGTTTTTCAGCGCATTCCCACGCACTGTAAAACGCCCAGGTGGGAACCATGCCCATAGGCAATTATTGGTTTTCACATGTTGAGCGTTTTACAGCGCGTTGGAACGCGCTGTAAAATGCCCAGGTGTGAATCAGGCCTTAAAGGAGAACTATGAGGTGAGTGATTTCCCCTCACCCTCATAGTTAGAGCCGACCTGTGACAAAGAAGCCGTCACAGGTCGGCTCTATTGATTGGGAAGGGAGCAGAAACCTGCAGCCGATCCGCTCACTTCCCGATTGTCTCCCTGCAGTGAGCGGTGACTGTCAGTCACTGCTCCCCGCAGGGATTCCCCCCTCCCCTCTCTGATCCTCCAGTGCTGACTGAGCAGAGCCCGCGATCAATCAGCTAGCTGGGTGGATCTAGACAGTATTGTCAGGATCCGCCCTGGCTGCGGCGCTCTTAGTATATAGCGAGTATATAGCAAGCTATAGCTCGCTATATTCTGAGCTTTGGGTCACGAAAGGAGATTAGTATATGAGCTCCCGTGACCCTAAAGAGAACTATGGAATAAAAAGGTTACCCCATAGTTCTCTTTTAAAATCTCTATTTTGAAAGAGAGCAAAGTAAGAATGTTCTAAACAACGTTTCCCCAAATCACCTCCAAATTAAAATGATTTCCTGCTCTGAAATGAGCACTGTGTTCTATGAAGGTCTTTGAAATCTCTTCTTAGAAGGCTGCTTTTAGAAGGGTCTAGTGCCAGCATCTCTTCAAATGGGTGACTTGGCGGAGTTCTTTTAAAATCCTAGCCATAGGGCATTAGTGGCTGTACATATCTAGGTTACAGACTTATTAATTGCTAGGCCAGACAAACGTCTGTATCCCTGAAGCCTTGCTGTGTTTTCAGGATCTGTCACTATACAGGTGAAACTCGAATAATTAGAATATCGTGCAAAAGTAATGGCAGTAAGTGCTGCAAAAGGGGCCCAAACCAAGTACTGAGTACATATGCATGCTTGTACTTTTCAGAGGTCCGATATTGTTCTATGTACAATCCTTGTTTTATTGATTGCATGTAATAATCTACTTTTTTTAGGTTGTGGATTTGGGGTTCTTGGGGTTTTCATGAGCTGTAAGCCATAATCATCACAATTATGACAAATCACGGCTTGAACTATCTTGCTTTGCATGTAATGAGTCTATCTCATATATTAGTTTCACCTTTTAAGTTGCATTAGTGAAATAAATTAACTTTGTACGATATTCTAATTATTCGAGTTTCACCTGTAGACATGTTAAAAGAAAATAGATTATTTGTGTACTGTATGATATAAAATATAATTGGAATGATCATTTCTTGCAACTTGATTTCTGATCACAGCTTGCTCCTGTTTTCTTTTTGGTATGTTATCTTGTCAGGACTTAAAAGTGGACCTTTATCCCTTTTACTAAAATGCACAGCAGCATGTAGCTCTGCATGCTGACTTAAAATCATCTTACATTCATTAGTTAAAATTTGTTTATCATTTACTTACAAATAGAGTTCATCTACTTCCTGGACCAGTGACAGCTGCCTACCCATATTTACATCACTTAACCACTATTGGATGATAAACAATAGGGCTGCAGCTAGCGATTATTTTCATAATCGTTTCATTGGCTGATTATTTTTTCGATCAGTTGGTTCAAGGAAAAAAAAAATTTAAATAGCATCTTTTATTAAACCCTTTCGCTGCCAAGCCCTCCGGAACATTTTTCAAATCAGCTGGCCAAGCCATTTTTGAATTTTCTGCAATTTTTTCCTATTGGTTTGATTTTCAACTGCTGCGTTGCTAGCGTTTGTAAAAGACCCCCCAAACCATATATTACTTTAAATTACAATAGCAAGCTGGCTATTGCAGCACCCACTGCCTGCTGTCAATCAGCAGAGGAGGGAACTGAAGGAGAAAGTTCTCCTTCAGGTCCTCCTCTGCTGATTGACAGTTGGCAGGTGCAATAGTCAGCCTGCTATTGGCTATTGCAATTTTAAAATATCCAATAGCAGGCTGGCACTTGTTTCCAGCCGCTGATTTGGAGACTTGACACTGGTGTTCTATCAGTCCCTCGGAGAACACCGGCAGAAGAGGAGTAAAGGGGCGAGCAGCAGCGGTACGAGGGTGGGGGGCAGCGGGGGAATGCAGAGTCACCCCAGTCTCTTCTCCCCACTGGTGCTGGCTGCAGTGGTCTGTGTCCTCTCTGCCTCTGGCGATACAGGCGGGGAGAGCAGAGGAGCAGAGCGGCAGCTGCTGCAACTAATCGAAAATCAACTAAGAGATCATGAGAATGGTTGACAATGATTCTAATTATCGATTCTAATAGATTAGTTGTTGCAGCCCTAATAAACACTCTCTTTCCGCTCTTACAGAATACAATAGCCGGCAGGTGGAGATTCCTCCATCCACGTCGTATAGTGTAAAATGGGAAATTGAGGAATTTCTCTCATTCAGCCCGCTGAGTTGATCGAGAGAAATGTATGGTCAGCTTGGATAGCTTCTCTCAACTGCCAGTTAAGAAAATATCTGGAGACAAATTGGTTGACACACCTCTACTAAACGTAATTACCAGGACAAAGTTTGTGGCACATCTAGCTAAACATTGATTGCAGCATTTGAGCATCACTAGGATCACAGAAGGGGGGACCCTCCGCATCTGCCCCTGCTGCGATCCTCCGTATCTCCGCTAGCATCACTAGGCTAATGACTTCCATTATTCCCTCACTGGCATCCAGAATATTCAAACAATTGGCTCTTCTATATGCCATAGAATCCCTTACAGAGTTTGTAATCCTTGCAAAGTATCAGCAGCAGGTGGTTAGATTATGACCTAGCTGTACTGTTTCCTTGAAGATAGATAAATAATAGCAATGTTTATCCTGCTGAAACAGGCACTTTACTGGTATTTGTCTTCTTTAACCAGTTGACATCCGCGGTGTTAAACCCCCTTCCCATGCAAGAGGTTGAATGAAAACATTATACAGTAAACTCCTCATTATCCATTATTCAAGCAACCAGAAAAAAAAGTTAAGGGCATATGTCCCCAATTTGTTTGATAGACACATGCACACTAAAAAGAATTGTTAGCAACTAAATTTATTTAGTTGTTAACAAAATTCTTTGTTTACATCTTGCTGCGGTGAATGCTAGATTCCTCAGCTGGCAGGTGAATGTAAGCAATGGGCAGTGGGCATGTACAATAGCCAGCCTGCTATTGGCTATGGTAATTTGAATTAGCCAATAGCAGAATCTAGCCAGCAGATGAATGGGGTGGGAACTGTTGCTTTATAGTTAATAGTAACTCTCAAGCAACCAGAAAATACAGTTATCCGGCATCTACCAATCCCCATGGGTACCGGATAACTGGGAGTTTACTGTACAAGTCCATAGTGGTCCCAAAAGTATTTAAAGTTCAGCTTGGGAAATCACTGGAGCCGGTTACATGTACATTCTTTCTTACTATGGCACAATATATATGGCATTATTTTTGGTACCTGTCACCTCAAGCAGTGTGTTCCATGTTTAACTTTCCCAGGAATAGCGTACCTTGTTTGTCTCTTGCCAATACCCATCTCTTGTCAGTACCAGTCTCCTCATTTATCATATGGGGTGCTGGTCCCAGCCGGTTTGTCTTGCAGTGCTGAACTCCTCCATTGAGGAGGCAGTAATGAGCTGAGCTCATGCCTGGTAGATGAGCAGACTCTCCCTGCTGTTGATCGATAAGCACCGGCTGTCTCCTAGGCTGCATGTCCCCTGTCCCGATGTGGCCGGTTGGAGTTGCAACAGTTCATGTGTCCCCAGAAAAGGTAAACATAGCCCGGGGAAACCAAACCGTGCCGCAGCTCCGTCACACTGTCTGCAGGAACAGCAGGACCCTGTGGTTGCCCCTGTCCGCCTGACATCTTGTGTCCAGTTTTCAGCTGACATGAAACCCCGGGCACAGGATTCCAAACCCGGACTGTCTGGGTGAATCCCAAACAGGTAACAACTCGTGTGTGTGGGGTGTGTTTTTTTTTTTTTTGGTTTGTTTTTTGGAGAAGATGTGCAAAGTTTCTTTTGTGCAAAACCTTTTTTCTCCTGGCTTTTTTTTCTTCTTGTTCCTGGGGTAATTGGACTACTTGCAGCCTTCACCTTTTGCCTGCCGCATTTCTTTTTTGTTCACCTTTCTCAAATCCTTTTCCTTTTTTGACAGTTTTTTTGCAGCCTCAGTGTTCACTCGTGTACCATTTGTTTTACTGCACATTGCACTTGGCCATAACACAGTACATGTTTTATTGTATATTGCACTTTACCTGGTATAGAAGCTGTAATATCCAGTTCATTGCACTTTACCTTGTATGGGAGCTCTAACAATCAGTAGATATTCCTATCTTTTTCCTCCATAATATATATTTTATTTCAGTGGCACACACAAGTTACACTTTACCCTCTATTTATTGCCTAATATTTTTAACTTGTTTTTATATTCCAGAAAATGAAGCTGAAGGAAATTGAGCGATCTGCAGTCCAAGCATGGAGCCCAGCCAACCAGCACCCAGTTTACTTGGCAACAGGTACACTTTAGGATTTTCTCGAAATATATTTTGGCTTTGCAGCAGTGCTACGGTTTGGTTCAGCTTTTTACAGAAAATTCTTGTTTGTGTGACTACAATGGACTACAATTAGTAAACTAAACATAAGATTATAGTGCATTACAGGAGAGAGCTTGGAGTGGTGGCTACTTTATAACACACACAGCGACCAACAAATGTAGCCGCCCTTCAGAATAGCCTATGCTTTTGTTAATAGTTAAGATACTTGAAATAATTTTTAATGTTTAACTCCTGAGTTTAATGTCACTTTTTAAGATAACGGACATGAAGGCATTAACATGCGCTTGAACCCACCTCACACAAGTCTTAACACGGCCATAAGGGGTTGCCTTAGGATAGGTGATATTCATTTTAGGGTCAATATAAGGTGCTAAGACCATGACAAGCAGAGGATGAAATGCTGGGTCACGTCTATTACTGGTTTTGCTGGCTGGTGTTAAAGTGACTGCACAATGCAAGAATGCATATTTGCCTATATACTATCACTGATCACTTGTGTTCCATAGCGGCACTATAAAAATCATGTTTGTATAAATTATGGATGCCCCGATACTAGTAAGATACTAAGTCATTACATGCTGCCCGGCTTCCTGATTGGCCGGGAAGCCGGCTCCATACTCCCTCGTCACTTGATGACGAGGGAGCACGGAGTCGGCTTGGAGCCCACTTCCCGGCTTTACTTGGTGACGAGGGAGGATGGAGCCAGCTTCCCAGCCAATCAGGAAGCCAGGCGTCGTGTAATGACTCATTGCCTGGCTTCCTGATTGGTCGAGAAGCTGGCCAAGTCATCACCCGCCCCCCAGCTTCCTGATTGACCAGAAAGCCGACTCCATGCTTCCTCGTCACCTAGTGACGAGGGAGCATGGAGACGGCTTCCGTGCTAATCGGAAAGCCGGGTTAGCGAGTCTTTACACGTCGCCCAGCTTCCCGACTAATCGGGAAGCCAGGTGGCGAGTCTTACACCCATTAACGAGTGCATTGACCAGCAACATGGTCATTGTAGGTGGATATTTGCTTTTTGGATTGATGAAGGCTGAAGTGACATAAGATGATAGCCAGCAAAAGTTAGAAAACACAACTATAAACTAACTATTATCTCAATTGTTGGATCTCTACATCATTCCATAAAATAGGATTGAGATGTATTTTCATACTTCTTGCAGAGCTAATCATAGTATTCATATCTGGTCAAGTGATTCTCATGGGACCATGCCCTCAGTTGGATCCTCTTACCTGCTGCAATGAGGGGGTCCTTGGTCTCTCTTGTGGTGCTTTTGCAGGAGACCCTCAAAAGGAGACCCTCAAAAGTGTTAAAGTAATATAATTTAACACTACTGAGGGTCTCCTGATGAAGCAGAGTATACATTACCTGTAAAACGCATAACATTGTCCTTTCTCCAGCGTTTTCAATTCTTTAAGTTATCTTTTATGTGATATTATGCACATGGATGAATGGAATGTCTGATATCTATATGTAGCTGGTCAATAGTAGATTGAGGTGAAGTCCTCCAAAACTTTTTCTTGTGACTGACTCTCTGCAGCAAAATACCATGTAATTTACAAAGCTATTCACAAGAGGGTGAAGAGTTTGGAGGAGGCAGGAGAAGTGAACAATCTAGGATAACATAGCTCAACTGGAAAGTGAGCAGAATTGGAGAATTTTTCCGAATCAGCTATTTTGGCCTAGATTGTTTACTTCTCCTGCCTTCTCCAAACTCTTCATCCTTTTGTGAATAGACCCGTTAATGTTTTTAAATATGATTTCAAATAAATTTTTCCCTCTGGTAAAACATCTTTTTAACATTCTAATGTATTTAATTAATTGCCGATTTATTGAAGGATATTGTAATTTTTTTTCTTCTAGGTACATCTGCACAGCAGCTAGATGCTTCATTCAACACCAATGCGGCTCTAGAGATCTTTGAGGTAGACTTTGGAGATCCTCTTCCGGACCTGAAACGAAAAGGCATCTACCTTGCATCCAGCAGGTATGCGGTATAAATCGTAGCAGATTTTCCCTCGGGGGAAACTTTCTGTTTCAAATGTAAGGTTTATTTTGTTTTTCGATGTTTGGTAATGGTGAACAGACATTTATACAAGTGAAGCCTTAAGTTGCATTATATTTTATCTACATCTCATGATAATGTGTTATAACCCTTAGGAATGTTCTGGATTGCTGCAAAGACATCTATTAAAATACATAATCTTTATTTAACTCTTAAAGTATACATGTAAACATTTTTTAAACAAAGTCCTACCTAAAAAAAAAAAAAAAAATGGGCAGTAGGTAACTGCTGCTACTACTTTTATTGACCTCCTTAATGCAGCATAATCGAGCTGAGCTGAGTGGGGAATCTATGGTGGGAGTGATGACTGAGCAGTGTCATTGCTCTGCAGGGAAGAGGCCATGAGCTGAGCATTTGGTGGTTCCTTGATTGCTCTGCTTTCGGTATAGAGCCAGCATGTAACAGCTGCCGTGTCCTATGCCGGCTCTAACTATTGGAGCATATTTAAATCTTCCAATACTTCTCCTTTAACCTAATATTTTGTTGCACAACTTTTAGAGGCAAACAAGCAATTTCTGCACCTGCCAACAGCTAGTTTGGCCCAATATTTGAGCAAACTGCTCCAGCTGTCTCAGATTTGAAGGGTGCCTTCTCCAGACTACATGTTTTGAGCTCTTTCCATAGATGTTCGAAAGGATTAAAATCAGGGTTCATAAAAGGCTACTTCAGAATTGTGCAATGTTTCTTAGCCATTCTTTGTGCTTTTAGCTTTGGGTTCTGAGTACTTATACTGTAGGAGGACCCATGAACTGTGACTGAGGCAGAGCTTTCTGACACTGGCAGTATGCTTCGCCAAAATTCCTTGTTGGCCTAGAAATTTTATTGTGCCCTGAACAGATTGAAGGCACCCTGTGTCAAATGCAGCAAAGCAACCCCGAAACCTAACCAAGCCTCCTCCATGCATCACAGTAGATACAGTGTTCTTTCCTTTGCAAGCGTCAGTTTTGCATCGGTGAAAATATAGCCAATGTGACTTGCCAAAAAAGCTCCATTATGGTCTCCTCTGTCCAATAGTAATGTGGCTTGTCAATATGCATTTTAGCAAATTTCAGTTTGACTTGATCTTTTTCCTTCAACAGTGGAGTCTTCCTTTTGAGCCCACTGTCTCTCTCTCTAAAAGCAACGGTATCTGTCGTCAATTTTCCTTTGGTTACTGCGTCTCTTTGGTTAGCTACACTCCCATAGACCTTAAACATCAACAATATTTGCAGTTTATTGCCTTTACCTTTGACATGCTGGTCTATAATTTTCTTTCACATCACCTCTCTCCTTTGCTTTCTTTCGTCCATGTGCAGTGTGCTGCAAACAATGATACCAAATAGCAGAGTGACTACTTTTCTTCATTTAAATACACTGACTGATTACAAGATTGTTGACCTTTGTGATTTTGATGATATACGTGATACGAATTACAGATATATTGGTGATATTTAGTTTGAAATATCATTGTGGTCCAATTATTTATTATCTTTTCTAGAGGTACCAACAAATCTGTAAAAGGTCATTGTAGTACTAGCAGTATTTTACTTTTTTTGCACTATTTCTTTGCTTTACTCTGACATGCCAAAGGCATGCTGGTATACATGAGACCATTGCTTTATCTCCTGCCCTTGTGGTCTTCTGCACCTCTACCTACCCTTATGTCTTTCCCCTTCTCATTCCTTTTACCCCCTCACACCCTTTCTATCATCCCTCAGTGGCATCCCCTCCCCTTTGGCCTACAATCTTTTGGACATGGTACCTTCTCCACACCTTCACTGCAGCCTAAAGCTGTGGCCATACACTGTTCTATATAAAATAGAGTAAATTCCTCCATCAACGTTACAAGCGCATTGATCGGGGAATCCTCGCTGTTTCTTTTGCGTTCTGATAGAGGCAGCTGGCAGAATACCCGAACAGAGCAGCTCATTCTCTCTCTTCATACGAATAATTTTTTTTGAAAAAATATTGGTGGTATCCAGGGGCTACGAGCTAGAGTTTTATTCTCTGCCTCCTCCTCACTTCATGTTATCAAGTCTGCCAACCTTTTTACAAAGACTAACGGATCTCTATGCTACCTTGGCAGAACTGAATGGTGAAGCAGTTCTTGCCTTTCTTCCTCAAGCGGAAAGGTTTTAAGTTGTTTACTTAAATTAGTTTACTGGTTTCAAAACAAAAGGGGGCATCCACCCCACACTAGATCTCAAAGCACTCAATGTCTTCATTCCAGTACAAAAATTTCACATGGACTCCAGCAGGTACAGCAAGTCATAGCTTCCCTCCATCCGGGAGATATCTGGCCCCTGTAGACATCAAGGATGTGTACCTGCATGTCCCCATCTTTCTGGCTCATTAGCGCTTACTGCGTTTTGCTGTGGGCACACAGTTTGGGCACACATGTTTGTTACCCTGTTGATCTTACTATTGCACCCTAAGTGTTTGCAAAGGTTTTAGCTTCGGTGCTAGTCTTGTTACACTTACAGGGCATTTCCAAAGTGGGATACCTGGATGATCTCCTACGGACAGAACTTTCAGGGCAGACCATGTCTAATATTGTTAGACTGTCCAAACTTTACGAAGATTTGGTTGGATCACGAACATTCAGAAGATGGCACTGGAGTCGATTTATCACTTGGAATACCTGGGTCTGATTTAGATACAGATATGGCTCAGTTCAGAGTTTTCCTTCCAAAACAGAAACTCCTAACTCTTCCAGATACAGACCCTACAGTTCAGGAGCCATCTATCTCTACTTTTGTGTAAGAGTTCTGAGTCTGATTGCCTCCTTTTAGGCAGTCCCATTTGCCCAATTACACTCCAGGACATCGCAACTCCACATTCTGGCTAAAGTGGATCAGCAAGTACAGTCACTGGACCTACGAATGCCCTTTACACCCAGGCCAAGGTTGTCTCTGGACTGGTGGCTTTACCAGTCCAGCTCTGGAGTCGGGCAGGTCTTTAATTCCACTCTCCGACAGTGTAAGGAAGTTGGCTGCCGGGGAAAGTTTATCTCCCTAGCAACATACTGGAGCTTGGAATGATTTGTCTATCCCTAACACTGAATTCTTGACGGCACAGTCATCTGACCTGGATTCAGTCTGACAAAGCCACAGCAGTGGCATTCATCAACCACTTCCACTCTGAATCCCAAGGGCCATTTGACCATTGTCCAGCTTTGTCCACCATTCACGTTTCAGGAGTGGACGTTCACCCAGAGGTGTTCCAGGACCTGTGCCTCTGAAGCTTCTTATTTGTCTGCTCTACAGGATTGAGATGAAGGGCCTTTCAATAATTTTCATTGCACAAAGTGGCTCAGGAGGATTTGGTACTCTGACCTCATCAGACTCCAGGCGGACACCCTGTAGGCTCTTCCACTCTGAATACCAAGGGCCATTTGACCATCCTGCTTCATGGTTAATGGATTTGATAGCATGGCTGTTGAATTCCAGGTCCTAAGATATATAGAGTTCTTTACTGACTGTTAGTCCTACGCGCCTAAAAGCTGGAAAGTTCACATCACACACCATCGCACATGGATAGCAGAAAAGCATACAAGGCCTGGGAAGAAAATTTCATCCCAGGAAATACTTTGTGGGACAGATCCTGACCTTTCTACATTCTTACCTGGGTCAATAATTATCGTTGAGTACCACAGAGAGACACATTTCAGCTCTTCCCATTTTGTTCCAAAGACTGATTTGCTTTGCATTCCTCTATCAAGGCCTTTGTACGGGATGTAGCATCCCACTGTTCCTGAATTCTACTGCTCCTTGATAAACTATTAAGAAAACAAGACTTTTTGTTCTCACCATAAAATTATTTTCTTGGAGTTCATTGAGGGATACAGGTCCCAACCCTCTGGGTTTATGATCTAATCCTAATGCTGCTTTAAAAAGCAAAACAAATAAAACTGAAGTGTAATTGGAGTGGGAAGAGTCATACTTGAGTGGCTAACATCTTTTTTGTTTACTAGTGTCCAATTCCTCTTAAAGGCGGCAGTATAACCCAGTGTTTTTTTATTTCTACCGATCCTTTCCCCTTGATGAACTCCAAGAAGTTTTTATGGTGAGTGCAAAAAAAAATAAAAAAATCCTAAAGACAAAAGTCTTTATTTTCCTCTTATCTGTCACCACTTAAAAATGTATTGTTCACTGCCTGCTTTTGTCACGTATTAATAAATAATTCAGTGTAAAGACACATCCCATAAGTCATGTTAATGCTTTATACATGCAAAATGTTTTTTGTGGATTGGTTTTTGCTTTGATTTTACAGACCCCCTGTCATTAAATGTTTCAGGTTTCATAAAATAATCTGGGGCAGTTTGGAAGTGGGCTCACCCGACTCATCTGGAGTTATTGTAGGTGGAGGAGACAATGGAGAGATAACGTTGTATAGCGCTTCACAGATTTTGGCATCTGAAAAAGAACCAGTCGTTGGAAAGTGTGGCAAGCATACAGGTCCTGTTCGTGCGCTGGACTTAAATCCATTTCAGGTATTATTGTTGATAACCTTGTTACTCTCCCTTTTTTTTTTTTTTTCTGGTGTTTTCATGTTTCACATTTTCAAGCTGCATTCCAGGCAGATATTAAAAAAAAATTTGTCCAATCCAGCTACGTATTTATTTTAAGTAGGTGTATTTTTAATACAGCTAGCATTAGTATTTGAAATGTCTTTATATTGGCTTCCAGCAATCCTGAACACAGCATCAGAATTTTGAAAGGGAGGTCAGCATTGGAAGAGTCTAACACTAGCAGCTCGCTTTAGGGAGGTGATGAAAGTATCAGGGTGATGATGCTTCCTCTCTGCCACTTTCAGGCATTTTTGTTTTTATGGAAATGGCTGACTATTGATATGGTCCAGAAACAGACAAAATTAAAGAACTATGGGGTTAAGGCTTTTCCCCATAGTTCTCTTTAGGGTAACGGGAGGACACACCTTTTAAGGTGAACAAAGCACCTGGAGCAGATGACTTAGACCCACGTGTCATGAAAGAATTGAGCTGTATCATTTTAAAGCCATTGTATCAAATTTTTAGAGACTCTCTAATGACTGGCTTGGTACCGATGGATTCAGGGGTCAAAGTCTTTACCAAATAATTACAGAGCTGTAAGCTTAACGTTTATAGCCAGGAAGAAACTTGAAAGTTTGATCAAGGATTGTTTTTGCTTGAAATTAATATTATAAGCAATAGTCAGCACGGATTCACAAAAGACAGAAGTTGTCAAACAAACCTACTTTCTTTTTATGAGGAAGTGAGTAATAAATTGGACGGATGAATGGTTGTGGATATAGCCACAGTTCCTCACAGGCGGCTAATGTATAAGTTAAGGCCAGTAGGTATAGAGTATTCAATCTGTAATTGAATAGAAAACTGGCTTAACCCCTTCATGACTGAGGCCTTTTTTTCATTTTTTGTACCCATGTTATATTCCACATTTTAGGCCTGAAAATTACTTAAACCCCCCTAACATTATATATTTTCTGAATGCCAAGACCCTATAGAATAAAATGGTGGTAGTTGCAAATTTTTATGTTGCGCAATATTAGCGCAACTCCTTATTAAACCCCAATATTTAGTGACAAAATTAATTAAATGCCCCAAAACACAACAAAATACCCATTTTTTTAATGAAATATAAAAGATGAGGTTACAACGAGTAAAATTGTTTAATCTTTTTATAAATTACATAGAGTTGGGGATTCTGTGTTTGCAGATGACACCAAGTTATGTAGTGCAATACAGTTCTTACAGGATGTCTCCATCTTACAAGCAGATCTGAATGCATTGTGTGATTGGACATCTATTTGGCAAATGAGGTTTAATGTTAAATGTAAAGTTATGCACTTAGGGACTAAAAACATGCATGTTTCATACACTCTAGGGCCAGTATGTTTGGGGCAGTCAATGGTGGAGAAAGATCTGGGTGTTCTGGTAGATCATAGACTCAATAATAGCATGCAATGTCAAGCCGCAGTTTCTAAAGCAAGCAAAATACTTTCTTGTATTAAAAAGGGGTCTAGAATCCAGAGGTAGAGACATAATCCTGCCCCTGTACAAAGCATTAGTAAGACCTCATCTGGAATATGCAGTTCAGTTTTGGGCACCATTTCACAAAAAGGATGTTGTGGAACTGGAGAGAGTGCAACGAAGGGCGACTAAACTCATAAGAGGCACGGAGGAGCTCAGACATGAGGAAAGATTAACTGACCTGAATGTGTTCTCTCTAGAGAAGAGGTGATTAAGGGGGGACATGATCACCATGTATCAATACATAAATGGTCCATATAGTAAGCTTGGTGCCAAATTGTTTACTTTAAGGTCACTGCAAAGGACAAGAGGGCACTCTTTGCGTCTGGAGGAAAAGAGGTTTAACCTTTGAAGGGCTGCAACAACTAATCGACATAATCGATTATGATCGATTATTGAAAAAGTTGTCAACTTTTTCAATAATCGATTAATCGGCTTCCGATCAGTTGGCCCTGTTCACGGCTCCACACACGCTGTGCGCTGCAACTCCTCATCACCTCACGCTCGTCGCTGCCAGACCCGCCCGCATCCACGCTCTTCACATCGCACCTCCTCCCCGCCTTACACTCACTGCCCACCCACATCCACGATCGGCACAGGGACGCGGGGAGATGTAGTAAGGAGGAGCAGGTGTGGGGGGATGACAGCCACCAATAGACAGGTCCAATCCCAGAAGCAAGTTGCTGGAAGACTGCTCAGCTAAGCCTGCACTTTCCCACACATGGTGCTCTATAATGTATTGCTGGGATTCGTTGTATTCCTGTATAGCTGGTGATATTCTGCACTGCGCTGTATAGAGGACTACAAATCCCAGCAATAATATATTATACAGCGCAATGCGGAATACCGCCAGCTATAGAGGACTACAAAACCCAGCAACAGTACATGATACAGCGCAATGCAGAATACCGCCAGCTATAATGTACTATTGCTGGGATTTGTTGTAGTTCTCTATAGCTGGTGATATTCTGCATTGTGCTGTATAATATACTATTGCTGGGATTTGTAGTCCTCTATAGCCGGTGCCATTCTGCATTCATTGCTCTATAATTTTACACTTTCCTTTTCACTATATTGCACACCACACTATTTTTTTCCTCTTCAAGCTCCAAGCTTGCTCCTGTGATGGAGTCGCATTTCAATACAAACTAGTAGTCCATCACTGGAGCCATTTTTTAAAATGTATTTTTTTGTTTATCCGATTAACCGATTAATCGAACCTAATAATCGGCTAACCGATTTTGAAAATAATCGTTAGCTGCAGCTCTAAACCTTTGCATACGGAAAGTATTCTTCACAGTTAGAGCTGTGAAAATGTGGAATAGACTCTCCAGGAACTAGTTCTAGCTAGCTCAGTTATCTGTTTTGAAAAAAATCTGGATGTATTCCTAAATGCGCAGAATATTACTGGATATTGAGCTCTTATAGGTATATTAAGCACCAGGGATTGTTGATCCAGGGAATATCCGATTGCCTTATGGGATCAGGAAGGAAGTTTTTTTTCTCCCCGTTGGAGCAAATTGAACCATGATTTATAGGGGTATTGTTTTTTTGGCTTCCTGGATCAACTGTGGGTATAGCGTTCTGTTTTAGGTTTTTCTTCTCTCCTCTCCTTTTTTTTTCTCATTTCTATAGGTTGCACTTGATAGACTTGTCTTTTTTTCAAGCTGACTAACTATATGTACCTATGAAAAGAGTATTTCTGCATTTGCATTCATTTACAGAGCAACGGTTATTTTAAGCACTTGCATTATTTGCTTAACACACAGACTGCAAATGAGGTGGATATTTCTCTAGAGACCTGTCATAAGGGGGTGAGGAGCTGTAAGATTACAGTTATTCCTTAACGGCAACTGTAAATCTATCAACATACAGTCTGCAGTGTCAGTTTTAGGCCTAATTAATACACCAGCTAATTGTTGTAATAAAAGGGCTTTTCTTTCCCTTACATTTGAAAAATAACTAAACTCAAAATTGAAAGTGTAATATATTGCAGTTTACCTTTCCTTTGATGAGTTGTCTGCACTAGTTTTTCTTTTTTTTTCATGCTAGGATTTTTTTTTTTTTAACAAGTACAGAAAATATATGTTCGTCTTGCCAGAAATGCATTGTCTTTGTCACTTCATTAAAGCTGTACTGGAACTGTTGTCTTCTGTTTGCTACCTTTTTTAATTTTCCCACCCCATGTAATGGAGGTGAACATAGGCAGACATATTTGAGGTCCAGCCTGGGTGACAACCATGGCTGCCTCTATAGATGCAATGGAGGAGTGAGCGTAGCCAACCAGGGAAAGGAAGTGTTAATCACAGGAATACCAGGTGCAAATTTAAAAAAAACTCTGAAAATATCAAATGAATGCAGCCACCTCCTCTAAGTACTGTGACGCTGCAGTATATATTACTTTTTTGTTTTGGGGTTTAGATATGCTTTAAGTGTTTGGGTTTGTTTGTTTTATTTTACTCACACTAAATTGATGCCTCATTTATTAGAAAGTCTTGGATTATAGTTGGGATTATTTGGTTACACATATTTCATATAATTTTACCTGTAACAGTAAAGATTTCCCTTTTGGATTGGCTACAATAAATGTAAATCGCACTTTTGAAAGCACTTGTGCTCATGTTTTGTGTTACCTTTTGCAGAGTAATCTCTTGGCTTCTGGTGCCAATGACTCTGAGGTTTTCATATGGGACCTCAATAATTTCAGTGTGCCAATGACACCAGGAGCAAAATCCCAGGTAAGCATCTAAGGAGATGAGGGGAAAATGGGGGAGAAAAATCCAGGTGAGCAGCTAATGAGATGAAAGCAAATATGGAAGGGGAAATCCAAGGTAAGCAGCTAATGAGATGAGGGAAAATAGGGGTGCAAAATCCCAGGTAAGCAGCTAATGAGATGAGGAAGAATAGGGGTGCAAAATCCCAGGTAAGCAGCTAATGAGATGAGGAAGAATAGGGGAGAGAAATCCCAGGTAAGCAGCTAATGAGATGAAAGCAAATATGGGAGAGAAATCCCACGTAAGCAGCTAATCCCAGGTAGCAGCTAATGAGATGAGGGAAAATAGGGGAGAAAAATCCCAGGTAAGCAGCTAATGAGATGAGGAAGAATAGGGGAGAGAAATCCCAGGTAAGCAGCTAATGAGATGAAAGCAAATATGGGAGAGAAATCCCACGTAAGCAGCTAATCCCAGGTAGCAGCTAATGAGATGAGGGAAAATAGGGGAGAAAAATCCCAGGTAAGCAGCTAATGAGATGAGGAAAAATAGGGGAGAGAAATCCCAGGTAAGCAGCTAATGAGATGAGGAAAAATAGGGGAGAGAAATCCCAGGTAGGCAGCTAATGAGATGAGGAAAAATAGGGGAGAAAAATCCCAGGTAAGCAGCTAATGAGATGAGGGAACATAGGGGAGAGAAATCCCAGGTAAGCAGCTAATGAGATGAGGGAACATAGGGGAGAGAAATCCCAGGTAAGCAGCTAATGAGATGAAGGAACATAGGGGAGAGAAATCCCAGGTAAGCAGCTAATGAGATGAGGAAAAATAGGGGAGAGAAATCCCAGGTAAGCAGCAAATGAGATGAGGAAAAATAGGGGAGAAAAATCCCAGGTAAGCAGCTAATGAGATGAGGGAACATAGGGGAGAGAAATCCCAGGTAAGCAGCTAATGAGATGAGGGAACATAGGGGAGAGAAATCCCAGGTAAGCAGCTAATGAGATGAAGGAACATAGGGGAGAGAAATCCCAGGTAAGCAGCTAATGAGATGAGGAAAAATAGGGGAGAGAAATCCCAGGTAAGCAGCAAATGATTTAAGAGTTTACATGGAGGCCTAGACGAGAAAGAATGTCAAATCTTAGAGTAATAATTTGTAGAGCACAGGTTCTCAAGTGCTGCAAGTACCCAAGAGGGTATTACTGCTAAGTAAATTCATCATACCAGCATTATGTTTGAAGTATGATAAATTGTATATTAAGCAGACCTAAGGGACAGCACAAGGAATGAATTGAAAGACCTTTTATACACAATTAAGGGGTTGTGGTAATAAGTGTTCACGTACAAGAAAACCTGAGACACACTAGAAGGTATTTGGTAAGTGCTGTGTGTGTGTTTCTTTTTTTTTTTAAGTAGTACATTCTTTAATAAAGATGAGCAACACTGTTGTATAGTAGTTCCTGGCAAGTAGAAAAAGTTGGCGAGTAGATAATGTGATCCATGAAAAACCACATGAACTATCTTCTCAGCCTTCTTCCCTCATGTACGGGCCCAGTGAGATCTGTTTTTACTATGTTACTAACAGGTCCATGTTTCTGATTTCTGTTCTGCAAATAACCGCACCATCACTGGGTGGTAATTTACCTTTTGAAAATGGGGCTTACCTCAGACGTTGGAGAAATCGCGATCCTAGTGAAAAAGTATGCCCACTGTTCATTGAGGTCATATAGGATGGATTTCAGGCTGCAAAATGTTGTAGCCTGCTGCTTGTGGGGCTTGCTCTTTTGAAGGTCGTTTACATTGATTTTTGTGACAGGTTTACATTAAGTCAGAAGGTCCCCTGAATTTATTTTTATTCTGGGTTTTGTTTAAATTGTTTCAAATTTAGCAAGCTTTTCACAGGATTTATAGGCCAGCCTGTAGCTTTGTGTCTGAATATTCTGTGCTCAGACCCAAATCCAGTCTAAAGTATTGGCATTATTAGTGGTGGTTTGGGTGAATAATTAGTTTTGTATTGCCCACAACCTTCTTCTTTTTTTTGTGTGTCTTTTGTTGCAGTATTGATAGGGCTCAGATCATTGTATGTATGGCTTGGGTGGCAGAAAACATTTGAGTAGCTTATTTTTGTTACAATGCATATAGTATGTAACTTTTTTCCATGTACTTTCAGCCTGCTGAAGATATCAGTGCTGTATCTTGGAATCAGCAAGTTCAGCACATCTTATCCTCTTCCCATCCCAGTGGTAAAGCCGTGGTGTGGGACCTCCGCAAAAACGAGCCTGTAATTAAAATCAGTGACCACAGCAACAGAGTGAGTACACACTGTACCTAAAATCAGTGATGGCTGTAGAACATGAATAAGTACAGGACTAAACCACTCCAGGAGCATCCTAGAGATATATTGGCTTCACAGTCATGCCGCTAAGTATTTAACCCATGACTCAAGTTTGTTCTGTGTATGGGACTGTTTTGGCTTTTTAGTTTTCTGGTTGCGCTTCCAGATCACTTCCATAAGTAGGGAGTGAAAAATTCTCGCACATCATCTGCTTTTGTCCTCCTTTTTCTTATTATTTTTGTCTCTGGACTTTTCAGTATAGTTAACATTTTAGGTAGAATATGTGTATGCTCTCCCATGTTTTGCATGCCAGTTTATGCTTTATGGATATTTCTATACTTCTTGTGTCCTTGGGTCACTCATTGAGGTTCATCTGACATGATTTTGTTTACACCACTGATTTCTTTTCAGATGCACTGCTCAGGAATGCTGTGGCACCCCGAGATTGCTACACAGCTTGTCCTTTCTTCTGAAGATGACCGTCTGCCAGTCATTCAGTTGTGGGATCTACGCTTTGCAAGTTCCCCATTAAAAATGCTAGAAAATCATACAAGGTAGAGCTGTCAGGTGAACCAAGGTTATAACGCTTTTTTTAATGAAATACATTGTTTAAGTAGGTGTCAGTGTAGTTCTCTTAGTACAAGGACAACTGAGACAAATATCACAGCACAGTGAAGATAGGAAAACCAGCAAAAAGGTTTCTCTTGCCTACGGAGTACATGATTTTAATGTGATTTTCCCTGAACTATCAGTGTTAAGTAGGCTTTGCTTTTATGCTGTAGAATCTTATGGAGTTATGTTGTTTGTTGTTGCATTTTTAATGTAACCAAAGTCTTTCCTGCTACCAGGGGAGTTCTATCAATATCGTGGAGCAAAGATGACCCAGAATTACTCCTCAGTAGTTCTAAAGATAACCGTATACTGTGTTGGAATCCAAGCACAAGTGAGGTAACGTCCATACTTTCCATTTCACTTTGTCATATCCCTTATTGTCTGTTTTTGAAATGCACCTTAAAAACACAGGTAAATGTGTAGAGGAGCGCAATTCAAAGTGGCCTAAAGCTCACCACACACATTCCAATCTGACTGTGCATTCTTCTTTAGCTCAACTAGCAATGATGGCAAAGGCCTGACTGATTAGGTACAAATTAATGGGATATTTTAGTTGGGCTCTCATATTAAATAGGTTTGGTACATCTACAGGACAGTGTAAAAAAGTTGGCAAGTCAGATAGTAACCTGTATGGTGAGCTTAAGTGCAACACATATACACTGCCCCCATGTATGTAGAGAATGGAAACTCGTAGTATAAATGCATCAAACTGTTATAGTTGCAACAGTCCAGCTTTATCCTAATCTTTGTTTAAGTTTATGTAAACCCTAACAATGAAATGATTTGCTCCCTTTTGAATCAATTAAAATATTGTTGAAAATATTTTTGTTAAACAAGATCTGTGATAAGTGCAAGAAAATATTTTTTGATCCTGCCAGAAATGTTGAGCGGATTGCTTCCTGTGCTCTCTGAACTCTGGTGAACTGTTTTATTCCCATTTATGTCTGTGGATTACAACCCCCCCCCTTCCCATGTTATGGAGAATGGGGGGGGGCATCCTGAAGTCCTGTTCCGAAGATGTTTCTCGTAGATACAGTACAGTGTGTAACTGTTGTTGTCACTTAAGTACAGGAAGTGTGTTACTACTTGCATGATCTCAAGGATTGGGGGGAGGGAGTCTGAAAAAGAAACGAATACAGCCACCTAGGCTAGAGACTGGTGAACTAGTGTATATTACATTTTTGTTTTTGGGTGTAGATGCACTTTGACTGACTGGAAAAATTGGTATTGATGAATATCTGTAAATGTTCTTTGAATTATTTGTTTTAGCTTGTAAGGTGTTGGCTAGTATTAGACCAGCAAAAGTAAATGTATGTATACCGAAAATATTGCATGCAATGGTACATATGTTTAAAGCAGAACTCCATTAATTTTTTTTTATTTTTTTAGTAACCCTTGCAGTGGGGCTACCCCCGCACTGCAAGGGTTAACTGCTCATTTGTGTCTAGGGTAAAAAACAAAGAAATTTATGCGGCCAAAGCTCCGTGACAGCTTTTTCTTAGACCGGTCCCTGGAATGTCTCTCCCCTCCTCTGCAGTGATCTAAGGTCCAGTAAATCATCACGTTTATACACTGTGCATAGACGTGACCGAGGAACATTCCAGTGTGCTGGGGAGGAGAAGACAGGCTGCAGGGAGTGCCGTGACGGCTGGCCAGCTCGGAACTTTGTGTGAGTATATCTTTGTTAATTTAGCACCTAGATACAAAGAAGCACTTAACCCTTGCAGTGTGGTGGTAGTCCCACTGCAGGGGTTAATAAAAACACATGCCTGGAGTTCTCCTTTTAAGCTCATTAGTAATACCTATAGACATGTTTTTGTCTGCTATACCCAAGAGCATTTTGTAAAATTTTAAGGCTTCGGTAAAACTATTGACTAAAAGATATTGTGTTGTGATAGTGTCCTTTAGGTCAGCAGGAAATGTTGATCCAATGTTTCCAGGTAATTGAAATATTTCATTTGACTTCAAATTACAGGTAGTTTATGAGCTGCCAGTGAAAAACCAGTGGTGCTTTGATGTCGAGTGGTGCCCCCGGAATCCATCGGTGTTTTCAGCGGCTTCATTTGATGGGTGGGTCAGCGTGTACTCTGTCATGGGTGGAAGTTTGGAAGCTCAGCACAGAAGCCAAGCTGATAGGGTATGTCTCTTCATTAACAATAAAATACAGTGATCGTTATGCAATCAATAAAGCTGTGGTCATTTAAGCATTTTGGATTAAGCAAGTTTGGAGAAGGGCCAGGTAGCCAATCCACCTTAAAATATTACAGCTGTCACCTAACTTTATTGGCACCTAGATTTGAACTGAAAGACTCCAAAATTCAAAATAAATGTATTTTATTCTGGAGTTTTGAGGTGTGTTTAAATCTAAATAAGATAAAGGGTATCACTAACCAAGTGTTGTCCTACACTTCCTCATCTTGACCTGATGTGGCATTGTTTGACACTGAGGCTTGGATTGGGCACTATCGTACAGGGATTGCTCAACTCTCTGTGCAGCTTAAAGCTAATCTCGCCCTTCTGTATGGATAAAAGGGAACAAGATTGCTAATGGGTATGTTACAGAGCCAGAGTGCAGCAGGTCCTTGTGGCACTGCATTGAAGGGCAGGCAGATGTCATTTTTGGTAAGATCTCCAATCTCTACATCCAAGTCTAAAGTGAACAAACTCACTTTTCCTGTAAACCGGTTTTGAGCTTTTCTTGTGGAAATTTCAAGACCACGTAAAATAAACATTACAAATGCATTTAGCTGCCATATTGTGTAAACAGAATGATACATTTAAACCCCAATCACCTTACAAATGGTATCTAGGCATGGGCCATGATAGTGGTGCAAAATCACCTGAATTTTGAGAAACATTTTAGAAAATGTGTGATATCCAGAATAGGAACTGTTTTTATTAAAATACTTTTGTATGTCTAATAGTAATTTAAAGGGATATAGATAATTTGTAATGCAGGTATTATTGCTGTATTACGCATTTGTAGTTCTTTCTTTTATGATGTGCAACTTGTGTGTGACTTGTATTTCAGATTTCGTCCTCATTTAACAATTTAGATCCCTTTGGGACAGGGCAACCTCTACCTCCTCTACAAGTGCCACAGCCGGCCACACAGACCACCATAATTCCACCTCTAAAGAAGCCACCCCGTTGGATCCGAAGGCCTGTTGGAGTGTCCTTTGCGGTAAGCCCAATCACATTACACAACTTGATGGAAGAAACACTAGTAAGTTAGCCTTGGTGTCAGTGCTGTATTTCCTGCAGAATTGTGCACTAAAAATCTTTTTTCCTGTTGCTGCTTTCCCCATGGCATTGAACTTTTACAAGCCTAAACGGAGCTCTTGTGGCTTTGAATGGTTTGTTATTCTCATTCATATTTATTGTACATTTCTCTAATTTCTCTGAATTGCTCATATTTTATTGGATTTTTCAGAAAAACAAAAAGGGGACACGTGGAAAGTGGGAGAACATGGGAATGAGTACAGAGGTGTACATGCACCACATGTTGGCAGATGTGTAATCATTAGATCTAAATCTTGTATTACTGAAATCACATTTAGAATTGGAAGGCCTATGCCACATTTGGGAGTTGTGACTATAACCGATATATTGGTGCCAATGTAAATTAATGGCACCGCATGTGGAAAAACACATGTGGAGCTGCACAAAGTGAGTTGAAGCGGGTTTCTTACTCCTGCTGCATGTGGCCATCCACAAACAGGTTGGGCACTAAATAGTGTGCCCCGACTAGTGCGAGTTCAGCATCTATCCCGTTTCAGTCAATTGTATCTAATTGTATTCTTGTAATTTTTAAACTTTTGCTCAGAGTTGTTAATATAGTCCTGGCTGTAATCTATAAATTAATGAAATGCAGAACTTCTTTATAGTGATACCGCTGCTAATACTAGCACTAATCACCCACTACAACAGCTCCGGGTGCTATAAAATGTATAACAGACTTTAGTTGCCAGGCTGATTAAGGGGCAAGTCGAGACTTGCTGATGCAGAAGACATTCGGAGGAGGCCAATGTTCTGAATGAGATATCACTAAACTCACACGGTCATGGGATTAATTACTGCCCCAACCTGTTTGTGAATGGCCAGCCAGGGAGTAACCAGCCTTACGTCACTAGTGAGGCTTGCTCTACCAGTGTTTTATGTGAGTGCAATACTATTTCTTTTCATGGTTCATTAAGAATTCTACACAATGCCAATGTGCTCTGCGTTCTCTGTTATGGTTGTACGTTTTTCCCTGCTACCAGCTGTCTAGGTTTCTTGAGTACTCAAAGGCCTTGCTTCTTACCTTAAGCCATGTATGTTTCTTACCATACTGGTGCTGCGACATGTCTGATTCTTGACACATGAAGACTATTCTGCTGTACCAGGTGCCCCAGCACACTCTGCACTAACGTATCGGGGACTGCTTGCAGCACGTCCCCTGACGGTGGTGACATCTTTAGCCTTGAATCCTGCTACCCTCTGCTGTTGGAGTCTCTCCCCTCATTTGAGTCATTTTTGGCTCACTGTGGTGTGGCTGGTTTGTATGTCCTCTCGACAGAGGTTTTATGACCTAAATTACCAAGTTGGTTTTTGACTTTCATTGCAGAGGACACATGCTCTCTACCATGCCCTCTCCAGCAGGTTCTATATCTGATTTCCCTGTGACCTTACCGTCCTCTAAACCATCATCTATTGAGACTTTGGGGTTGATTTACTAACCTTATAAACACACCACGAATGCATGTGTTTGTTATTAAATCACCCCCTTTGATTCTGAGCTGCTCAAGTTCCTGACTTAATGAGTTTTTCCCTGAGGAGTCAAAATATACTGCTATCACTAACAAGTTAAAGGAGACTGTTTTGGCTCTTCTTGCTGCAGTGGTGCACACCACTTTCAAGCTAGAGGATCAGCCTGCCTCTTCTACCATAACTGTTTTTTTTACTTGCCCTGTTAAGCTGCTTGCTCCCCCTAAGCACTTGATGTCCTTGAGTCTGATAAGTGTAGATTTTGTTCAAATAATGTCTGTTCCTACTGTGGATCTAGTTGTGTCAGGACTACTACCATAGTTGTGGAGGACGCTGCTGCCATTAGGGACCTAAGCGATAAGCAGCTGAAGTTTGTTTCCAGGACTGTTTTCTCTTTTGCGGGTCCTGCCTTTCAACTGATATTTTCTGGACAATGCCTGGTCAAAATCCCTTACAAAAAGGCCTTGGTGCTGCTGCCAGTGACCCTCAAATCATTAAGTGCATGGAACAGATGTCTGTCACTTTGAACTAGCTGTGATGGCCTGTTGGAAGCATCCTAGCTTATTTCTCGTCAGTACATTGGCTAAAGTGCTGAACTGTGCACATCTAACTTTTGCAGCAACCTGGATTCCTTGGTGCATAAGGGCGCGTCTCAGGGTTACAAACTCAAGTTTTGTGTGCAGAAGGCATACTCTGCTTGGTGTAAGTCTAAGGGCTTTTGCCCCAGGAGCTTCTTAGTGGGACAGATGCACTTTTCTGCAGTTGGGTCTGGAGCAACACTTAGATTTTAGCACCATCAAGGGTCAGGTATCTGCCTTTTCTATTTAGTTTCAGAGACTAGATTCCCACTCTAATAAAAACCTTTGTGCAGGAGGTCAAACATGGTCCTTCCAGCCCAATCCCATTAGGTTCCATTGGGTTTGAATCTGGTTCTTTTGGTGCCTTAGAAGCATCTGTTACAAGCTATCAAAGACGTTTCAATTCCTGCCCTCACATACAAAGTTGTATTTTTTTTGGTTATCACCTAGGCTACATGAGTGTCTGAGTTGGTGGCTTTGTCCTGCAAGGAAGCCTTTTTGGTCCTCCACAAGGTGGTGCTGAGGCCAAAGGCTTCTTTTCTTCCCAGGGAAGTCTCCACTTTCCACTGTGATCAGTACATTATTCTTCTGTTCCTCTGGCTGCAGTTCACCAAAAGGAATTTTCCCTCCCATTGTTTAAATTTGGTTCTGGCTGCCAGGTCTATTGTTCTCAGTAAAATGTAGTAAATTAAATGGGGGGATCGTAGACCATCATGGGAGTGAGCTTGGGACAGTGGGTACTTTACAACACGCACACAGGGATCATGGGAAACAAAAGTAACCACCTTCCAGAAGTAAGAACAGTGTCGGCACCAATTCAGAGATGATTTGAGGTTCTACAGCCGAGTGATACACAAATAAGCAACATTTTTTTTCCTCTTTTATATTTGAGGTACTTGAATGCAGTTTTTAAGGTTTAACACCTAACTTTAGTGTCACTTTAAGTCTCACTCCATTATGGCAGTAATCACTTCTTGGGCTTTTCGGCATCAGGCCTAAGTTTTCCGAATTTGCAAGGTTACCACCTAGTCTCCTATTCACAAGTTCTCTTAGCTCTACCAGGTGGACAGTTCTGCCTCATCTAATGCCAACTTTGAGCATAAGATCCTTTAGACGGCTCTTTGAGCTTGCAGGCAGTCCCCTGTTCTTTGTTTTTTCCTTTGGGTGTCTTAGTGGTTATTTGTTGTGTTACCCACCCCTCAGTTGGCCTTCTTTTGGATATTTCAAAAAAAGTAATGATTATGCTCCCTTTGTACTTTATCTGCTAATTGCTGCAGCAGAGGTTTAAAAAAAATCTGTTGGCAGCACTAGGAGAGTTGGACTGATGTTACCACACACAAGCTGCAGTCCAGCTCTCTGACACCCTTCCATGAACGTTTCTCAAATCAACAGCACTTCTCAGGGAGCATGAGCGATGTTGAAAGAGCAGTGTTTAGTGGGGCACATCTGACCACAGAATTGACTGTGAGAGTCACTGTCCAACTTTCCTTTGTGCTGCCAGAACAGGGTTTCTTTTTGTTTTTGGTTAACCCTACCTGCAACACTTGCTTTAAAAAAAAAAAGTAAAATGAATAATATTTATTACTGTAGATGCGGCCTCACTGCATTACAGTAATACATTATGTGAATTGGGCTTTATGCTGTGTTTTTTTTTTCCTATCAGTTTTGAAGCTCTCTGCACTTCAGTCCCATATCTGCATACTTGCTGTGACCATTGTGAGGTTGCTTTACTGTGGGATTTTTTTTTATTTTTTATACTGCATACAGCAAAACATGGAGTGCAAGGTGGATGGCATCAGAGCCTGGAACATGCTAGGGAGGGCTGCACACTACAGTTCCCAAGTTATTAAAAAAAAGTCATTTTTCCACTGTGCACCAGCTATAACTAAAATACAATTATTGGCAGCCTGATCCTTTGAACTGTGACTGTAACGGTTGGTAAATCTCTTTGCTTATCTTATCTAGTTCCATGTGTTCTCTTTCAGTTTGGAGGAAGAATGGTTTCATTTGATTGTCCTAAAACAAGTGTGCAGCCGACCCAAGAAACCAGTCCTCGACAGGTCTATATCAGTCAAGTGACTACTGAAAGGGACTTCCTGGCACGATCAAGTGAGCTACAAGCAGCTTTACTGTCTGGCAATCTTCTGGGCTACTGCCAAAATAAAGTGCAGACATCTTCACATGCAATTGACAAGAATATCTGGAACTTCCTCAAGGTAATTCTGTTTTCAATATTATTAAAGTTACTTTATTATGTCTACAGAATTACTGTGTATTTCCTCTTTAGAACACAAAATGTCACACAAGATGCCCTGGTTTAGCCCCCATCCTTAAGAAGCAGAGTAATAGGGAAATTGAATGAATGTATAACAACAGAAATGTTAGTGTACATAGCAACTCCTATAAAAGTGCAGCATAATTTCCCTTGCAATGTGAACTACTTGTCCCTGCAGAACCACAGGAAGACTTGTAGCTCTTCAGAGTCTAGGTTGCATAGCACTGTGACAGAGTTGTGAATACATACAACCAGGGATGTTCAGATACCAAGTACCACACTCGGTACAAGTACATATACATATACTTTTCCAGGACTAGACTAGAGAAAAATTCAAAAGATAGGAGGCAGCTGTCATTAGGGAGCATACAGAGCTCCTGGGATTTGTACATCCCCTTTTTTAATGCATTATTTTTTTTATAAATATATATAAGGGGTGCAGCGATACCATTTTACCAAGTACTGATACCTGTCCACGTACTCACAGATACAAGTACTGATACATTTTTGTTTACTGTAATGTGACAGTTTTTCTAAAACAATATCAACTAATGATTTCAGGACAGTGGTGGAGCACCAGATCTAGGTCCCAGGTGCAACCGCTGCAACCCTGGTAGTTCTTGTCAAAATGCCAACTATCGGCACTGGTATCTGGACAGCCCTAAATACAACTGCGGAACTCTATAGCACTGGACCCAAATCAGCTCTGAGCAGCTACTCCCGTCTGATTACTGTCCTTCTCTATATATCTACAGTGATAGGAAAGCAGCTGATTGTGGCTTTCTCTGAGACACAGCTGCTGCTTATTTTTTATTTTTTTTTGCTGCGACATAAGAATATTCATTGTTTTCTATGGACACAGTTCAATTGCTATTCTGCTGGCAAGTCTTGCCTGCTGAATGTTGTGTGTTGTACTACCTTGTCTCATTGAAGTCCATTTAATTGTGATGCTTAAAATTACAGCGCCACCTGTGTGAAAATATTTGCATTTCTGATGTGCTTTTAAATTACCAGAATTCAGCAGAACATAACTATTATCACTAGTAGTTTAGTGGCTACTAGTAGATAGTTTAGGATTGTACCTGTATGTCATGTTTGTAATAACACACAGTTAATTTTTTTTTTTCTTCTCATTTCAGGTTAACTTTGAACATGATGCAAGAGAAAAATTCCTGAAGTTGCTAGGATACAGTAAGGAAGAGCTGGATAAAAAGGTGTGTTTTATGGAATTGTAATCAACCATTTGCTTTACCGCTAGTAAAGTACATATGAGTATTAAGGAGCATGTGACTCACTCTGTAGGACAATGCTGGGTGGGGATAACGTTGCTTTCTCCTGCATGAGCAAAGTAAAGGTTCACTTTTTTGAGTTTCAAGGTCTGTATACTTACCATGGCTATCGGAACCATTCTCTGCTGAATTATATTTATTTTTCAGTATAATGACGATTGCAATAGGAGCAGGGAAAACATAAGTGTTCAAGGGGGTACAGGAGCAGAGCCCTAAATAATTGTAGCAGACTATCACGGCAAGGAACCCCTAAAGAGATTTAGCAAGAGGGTGGGCAACTCAACTAACTAGACTAAACCAGTTGCTGAAATATCACTTCTGGGTCGACTGACAGAAGCAGCAGAAATATTTTCTGTGATGAGTTATGAGAGCCTTTGCTTTGAGATATAAAAATGACACCCTTGTCTATGGGAATCTTTCACCTGAATTAAACCTTTACCACCTCATGTGCAGATCTGCTCTATTTAACATCCTTACTTTCTGCATTGCCTAAACTTCTGTCTTTTATGCTCTTGATTAGCACATCATGCTGCTCCATCCCTTGATGTGCCTAGGAATTAAATGTGATTTAAAGCAATTGTTCTGCCCTCTGATATGGAGACATTATATTATCAAGGGAAGCTTTACTTTTACAAGTACATACAAACAGCCCTGCCTGATGATTTCTTCAAATAGCAAGTAGTCTGAGCAGATTGATTTCCTAGTTCCCTAGCACAGAGTAGTGAACAGTATCAGACTATATAATATGTTTTGGGTTTTCTTTCTTAAGATATTTTAGAGGGAAGCCCTTGAAAAAAGTTCCTGATGACATTCAAATACTGTATGTGGGTCCATTTAGTACTACTTGATCCTTAGCTCCATTACCTACACAGGAAGTCCAGGTCTGTGCAGATCTGTTCTGAACTGTGTGAGGTTGCTATGAGAGCAGACTGTCTTTAGGCAGATCCAAGAGCCAAACACTTATTACACCAAAAGTAAATGCAGGACACTTGGTGAGATGTGGCAGAGTCTCCTGATTATGTGTGCCCATACCAGGAGCCTCTGCCACATCTCACCAAGTGTCTCTCTACACCCTCCTGAGGAAGTGGCCAGCTAGAGCCACAAACACGTGAAGATGGTGTTTATATCGATTTATCATCCAATAAATACCTACTAATTGAAGAACCACGTAGATGCTCATGGTCTTGTTTCTGGGCGGCTCTGCTGGGTACCTGTTTTTCCTGCCTGCCTCAATAGTCAGTGGGTACCTGGGCATACATTTTATGCAGAACCTCTGGAGTTCTGTACCACAAAGATAGCATTTTATAGTTTGGTTCCTGGGTCCTAGGACTCGATGAACATTTGTGAGCTTATATACAGATGTCTTGCCATTGACCCTCCAAAAAGGATACATGTAATGCTTATTCCCATTGCATTTTAAACGACTGCATCTGGGGATAATCTCCCAAAAGGGAATATTGCCTGGAAATCGGGCGAGTCTCTGGGCCCCTACCAATGCAAATCTTTTCAAACATCGTAAGTGACCTCTTGAAATCCGAATTATGTTGGGAGCTTTGCAGAAAATGTTTATCTTGAAAATATGTCCACCATGGGATTCGGCCTGAGACTGCCCACTTGTTCAAGTCTGCTCTAGGCAAGAAACTTTTTCGTACAAAGAAAATGTGTGCCATTGGAGCACAATCATCTTTTTGGAAAATTCAGTTGCAGTGTGTGGTGGAAATTCTCTGTCCTCTCAATGAGGTCAGGGGACCCTGTCTAGAATTAGGATATCGGCAAAGCGAATGGAAAACGCCCAATGTGGTCTTGATAAGTGAATGCATTCTAAAGCTTATGGAAGTCGGAGCCATCAGGGTCTAAGGTAAATTTGCCAAAGGACCACCCCTGTTCCATTGCTACCCACCTCTTCGTCTTGGCATGCAAGTTTCAATCCGCGATGCGCAACAAGAGACATGCGCGATAATAGCACTGCAGATCGGGAAGATCCAAACCTCCTTTTTATTGTTTAGGGGCTTGCAGTGTCATTCTACAAAAACTGAGACTTTTACTAGCCACACAAGTCTACCCAATTCTGTATTCAAGGTTTTGAAGACTAATATGGGTATGGGTATTGTTTGAAACGGGTGCAGAAGACATGGCATAATCATTTTAATGATGGTCATGCTGCTCAACCTCAAAGGATATATTTTTCCAGTTGTTAAGATTGGATCTGAACTTCATAAGCAACACAGAGAAATTCAAGCAAAACAGTCAGTCATTGAGGAAGGCAAGTTATTGCCAAGGTACTTAATTCCAAAGGTTTTTTGGCTGTCTTTACCCTCATTAGGGACATATCCCTTCATTACCTTTCCAATGATAACCTGTGGGTTATCGGGGATTAGGTGTATCTGGAGCAGGAAATGAAGGTAATTCTCCCCAGTGGCCACATTTTAATGGAAAACATAACTTGTAATGGTTTTAACCTTCTAATACTATTGAAACTAAAAAAAAAAAAATGGGGGTTGGCTGGAGTTGAGCTTTAATTGTGTCCTTTTTACTAGTTCAGCTGTCACACGTGTACACCCCTGTGGACCAGAGCAATATTTACATTTCTGCTATGGGCTTGCCTGTTCGGCAATAACTTCTTTTAATGCAACACTACATAAGTAACAAACCTAAAAAAAAAAATGGTTAGAAATAAACAAAATCATCTGGAAAATACTGTGTGTTATGGGGAAAATGAAATAAGTAGTTAGAGCTGATTCGAAATAAACTAAGAGTTCATATGGTTAAATAGGAGCACATTTTTTTTTTAAATTAACTTTCCTTTTATTGTCAATTTACTATAATTGTCATCATATGCAAATTAATTTTTTGTGTATGAGTGGAATAATTCAATAGTACCTATGGCACAAAAATGTGTTCAAACTTGCAGTCTCTGCATTACAGATCTCTTCTGCTTTGGGTGAAGGTTGGCAAAACAAAAACAGTCCTTCAGATGGTGAAGATCTAGTTCAGAGCATCCAGTCTGTGTCCAGCCAGGTAAGACACATGCTCTGTAGTAGTTACCTGTCTTGTAGCCCTAACTGGATTGTGCCAGGTTCAATGCCCAATTTTAACTTGTGATTTTATTTGAAAATTGACTGCATGTTGTTATATTATTGAAAGCCAATAAGTCATTTGGGTAACTCTAAATTTAAAAGAAAAAAAAATCCTTGTCTACATCACCCAGGGTGCCTCAAACTTTTCGCACAGCATCATATCTTTTCATGGTGCAGGAGGGCCAGCCGCCAGCACCATAGAAACTAATGACGCTAATCCAAGAATGTTGGGATCCATTCAGAAGAGGATGGAAGCTGCCCTCTGTCCAGACCTGCTACGCCTCCTGTCCTCTGCCATGCTGCAACTCCTGATGTGAAGGGGGGACACTGATGTGAAAGAGGGGACTCTGATATGAAAGATGAGCTTTACCTTTTTACATCAAAGGGGAACTCGGAAGGGAGGCTCCTAATGTGAAGTGGAGCTCCTGATGTGAAGGCAAAACCAATCTTGGATAAGGGTCTGGTGTGGATTTGGAAGGGAAATTTTTTTGGGGGGTTTTAATTTTTATTTTTTAAATTGGGAGCCTTGATATTTTGAAGGGTGCAGTAACTGGGGAAAAATGTTGAGAAATGCTGGTCAACACAACACAAAATAGTGTTCTAACTAACGGAAACCGAATGAACCGGTTCCATGTAATCTGATCCACTCCAGGTCATACTATTGGCGGACAACTCTTTGACTTTCTTCTCTTCCTGCATCTACTGTATCTACATAGTTACATTCCAGATAATTATATATTGATATAAGCATCACTATATAATTGAGCCCAAGTATTGAAATATACTCTTGAGCATTGTGTAAGGAATAAACATAATATACAACTATAAAATCAAACCATTATTTAGAGGAGATGTATGGGGAGAGTGTAATACACTCATTCCCATAATTTAGAGCCAACACTGCAGCTGTCACATGTCGGCTCTATTGATCAGGAACTGAGCGATCACATACAGCTGATCACTTAGTTCCCGATCTTCTCCCTGCAGTAAACGGTAACTGTCAGTCATCGCTCCTCGCAAGGATTCCCTCCTCCCCTCTCTCTATTCCTCCAGTGCTGACGGGGAGGGGGCGGACACAGCTGGCTCTACCTCTAGAGTTTACTTTTATTTTGCACTCTTCCTGTCTTTATCACCCTATTCCTCCAGATAGCAATCAGTTACTCGTAGAAACCTTTGCTACTTTAATCTATCCCTACTCTACTCTGATGCTGACTTCCTCTGACAAAATAACCCCTGGACAGCCCTGACCTGGCCACTTCTGTCTGCCCAACGAATAGCATTCAAAGCCTTCCACAACTTTGTCTCCAGCTACATCTCCAATCTCGACTCAAAAATATCATCATGGCCTTCCTTTTTACTCCTCACAGGATGTCCTGCACTCTCCCTTCATTGTCAGCTTCTCCCATGCTGATGTCCAGGACTTTTCCAGTGCCTCTTCCATCACCTGGAACTCCCTACCGCATTCTGTTTAGCTATCTCCTACTTTGCTTTTTAGTGATCCCTGAAAATTCATCTCTATTATTATCAACTACTACCTTTTTTGTTTTGCTTGACATTCCCTTATACTGTAAGCTCTCTTGAGCAGGGCCTTCCCAGCCCTCTTTGCCTTGATTTGTATTGTAATTGTACTGTTTCCTTTTATATTGTGAAGTATTGCACAAACTGTTGGCACTATATAGTATACATCTTGTATTATAAAGATGATGATAATCTATTGCATGCTGAGAAATGTCTTCCCTTTTGAGTATATGATCTGTTCAAGTAATTTAGAGACTAAAGACCTTATTTTATTGAAACTTACACTGAGTGGCCAGATTATTATGACCACCTGACGTTTGTAGGCTAATTAGCTATAATTTTGCGCTGAAGTTGCTAGAGGGCCAGACCATTATAAATAGGGAAGCAGGTTGTTTACCACGACAGTAGAAGGGATTTTTTTCTGAAGATATGGGTAAACAACGCGATTTAACAGCCTTTGAACGTGGGATGATTGTTGGCGCGGAGCCATGGAGCAAGTATCAGCAAAACAGCAGAATTCGTTAAATGTTCAAGAGGGGCTCATTGGTAAAGTGTTTAAAGACTGGACTGTCAGCTGAAAATCTGGGTCTGAACGTGCAAATTGTTGCCGTCAGCGACTAGTCAATGTTAAGGCAGAACGGAGAGTGGCAAGACTGGTACAAGACAACAGAAGAGCAACAGTACATTATCAGATTCCTTGCATCACCTTTCAACATCTCGTGGAGTCACGAGGCGGCCCAACTGAGTCATCTCGTGGAGTTATCTCGTGGCCCAACGAAGTACTGATGGGGTGGTCATAATAATCTGGCCACTCAGTGTACGGTTGGGGTTTTTATCATGTCAAAGTGTACTAGTTGTAGTGGTCTGGACTTTTTTTTAAACTGTCTGCTCTAAAGAAATGCTTCTAGTAGCATCATAAGTGTGCTTCATGTGATGTAGTCTTGTTGTGATATCTTATTTTTTGTGTAGGCCTCCAGCAGTTTTACTGGGCAAACGTCATCCTCCTCATCTATGGAATTTTTTAATCTACCTCCCCAGGACTCTGCAAAGTTTGAAATCCCGGTATCATCTGGTATGAGAAGTGGTCTATTTATTTCTATTCATTGTAAAAGAGAGACAGTGGACACTACTAGCCATTTCTTTTCCTGTTTTAGACACTGATGGCCTAATAAGTCAGGCTCTCTTGATGGGAAACTTTGAGGCAGCTGTGGAACTGTGCTTAAAGGATGGTCGTTATGCTGATGCCATCATATTGGCCAATGCTGGAGGGGAAAACCTTCTGAGAGAGACACAGCAATGGTATTTCACCCGCCAAAAAAATAAGATCACTTCAGTAAGTAGCTCTGAATTTGTCATAATGTTTATGTAATTATTAATGTTTACACGCGAGATTCACACAACTTTCATCCAGGATTCCCATAATTTTTGCATAGGTTTCAGTTAGAAATAAATGTTTGAATCTTGGTTTTGAAACTCAATATTTATAGTATTGTATTAGCTTGTCTAAAACTAAAAGAAGTGACCTTGATATCTTCTAACATTACCAGCTGCTCTTTTTTTGGGCAAGACAACAAAAGGTGAAGCTAGGAAATGTCCTTTTTTTTTCGGACATGCATGTGCATCCAAGACCTTTTTCACAGACAGATGTTAATAATAAGCAGTCTTTGGTTTATGCCAGCTCTCATATTACCTGCCTTGCTGTAACCCAACTTGTATATGTCACTGCTGTTGCAGGCTCCATGAAATGGGTATACATAGTATAAAAAAGCGGTTCTCAGCCACCAGGTGGGAGTCCACTGCTGGGCCGCATCCTCTCTCTAGCTGGGCCACGCACTTCCGGAACTCTTGTCATAGCTGTAAAAAAAAGTTGTAAATATTTTTTCAAACAAATCTATTTCTTATGCCAATGTGCCATGATGCTCATGTTTTCTTCATCCAGCTTCTGTCTTCTGTAGTCCAGCAGAAGTGGAAAGATGTGGTCCTGGGCTGTAACCTGCAGAATTGGAAAGAAGCACTAGCTCTGCTGCTGACTTATTCCAAACCAGAGGAATATGCAGAGCTGTGTGGTAAGCATTATTTGGGGATTTAAAATTTGAGCCTGCAGGAGGACAGGAAAGATGACCATGTTTTAATTCTGTGCCTAGTTGTCTGTACCCCTTGTTCTAGCGTTCACTCGCTAATGGCCACAACACCTTCCTTTATTTTGTACTTCTTTGAAGGGCTCAATAAAACATAATACAGTATTTCATATATATTATAGCATTTAGCTGCTACTGAAAATAAACAAAAGCTGCTTCATAGAGTCAGAACAGTGGCTGATCCTTCCCTCGTGTCTGTTGTGTACATATTGGGCCACTCAGTGCTCCACTAAGAGAAAAAAAATACTGTGATGTGAATGCAATGTGATTGGTGCTCCCTGTATTAAAAGTTTGTAAAATCAAAGATTTTACATGCATTGCATAATAATAAAAAAAAAATACCCAAAAACCTTTTTATAGCGTGCCCTTAAAAGAGGAACTTTACTCGTATCTTCAAATGAACAACTAAGGATCCTTTTAGAAATGTTTAGTAATAACAATCTACAAACACATCTAGATAATTGCAGGCTTTGAATTGTTTGCATACCTTATTTTTCTTTTCCTCCCCATTCATCTGACAGTGGCCATTTTTACTAAGGGAAGATTAAGATAACCCCTTTACTTCCTGGAATTCTGGCAAATGTGACTAGAGTGTATTTCCCCTAGATGCCCTTGGAAATCGTTTGGAATCGGAAGGAGAGGGAAATCTATCCACTCAAGCCTGCTTGTGTTACATATCTTCGGGGAATGTGGACAGGTTGGCAGAGTGCTGGGTCAGAACTCATGAAACCTCAACACCACTTGCACTGCAGGTAACACAGATTTCCGCAGAGATTTTTTTTATGAGAGTTGTAAAATGTTTTTACATAGATTTCTAGAAAACACATGTAGCTGGTAAATACTTACCTATAAACTGATACTTTGATAACGAACAGGTAGCTGAGATTTTTTGCTTTCAAGCTTATTGAGTACCCAGTGTGTTCCATTCACCATATTCTCTTTTATAGGAGCTAGTGGAGAAAACCATGGTATTGCGAAAATCCATTGAACTACTTCGAGGGGCAGCAGTGTCTACACAAGGCCCTGTGCTTGCAGAGAAGGTAGCACAATATGCCAGTTTGCTGGCATCTCAGGGGAACCTAAATGCTGCCATGAGCTACTTACCTGAGGACTCTGAAGAGGTACAGTATTTTACCTTTTTTTAAAGATTTTTTTTGAGCTAAATAAAAATAAGATTAGTTATTTCATTTATAATGAGCCACTTGTATTAATGTAACAAAAATGATAGATATTTAAAAACATATTTATGTTATTTCTAAACCTAAGTGTGGTTGTTTTACTTTAGCTATGTAGCTATGTTTTGCAGATAGTAATGTAACCTTGGAAATATATCATTTTAGAGTTCTATAATATCAAGTTAGCCTTCCTATGATTGTAACATTTCTCTTTTTCTTTTCTGAAGAGCTCCGTACATGAGCTGCGGAATCGCCTGCTGAATGCTCAGGGACAGGCTGTGAATGGACAGCCCTATACCTCCAAGGTATCCAGTAACTATCCTTCACCTACAGCCAAACCAAGCAAAGTACCAGAAGTTCCTGCATACAACGAAGGAAGTATACAGGTGGGTGCCTATTTCTTTCCCTTTATACCTGCACTAGTATGATTTAAACTCTAGGTGGCAGTACTGTGCCAGTTCACTGTATACTATGTCTGATTTCTTCCATAACTATTGTTCCATTTTTTCCCCCAATACTTTTCGTATTGGGGAACTTTTCGTAAGTAACTTTATTGCCGTAACTGTATAAGAACAACCCTTTAACCCTTTCACTGCCAAGGCCTTTTTTGTGTGTGTTTTTTGTTTCTTTTTTGCACACTTTTGTATAATGTACATTTTAAGCCTAAAAATTACTTTACACCCCCAAACATCATTATATATTTTATAGAAGCAAAGAACCTGTAGAGTAAAATGGTGGCGATTGCTAATTTTTGCACCGCACAATATTAGCGCAACTCTTTATCAAAATATCAAAGATGAGTAAAAAAAAAAAATAGTGACCAATAACACAATATAATAACCATTTGTATTTTGTTAAATATCCAAGATGAAGTTACGATGAGTAAATAGTTGGCCAACATGCCCAGGTTAAAAATGGCATGAGTCCGTGAAACGGGGACAAAATATGGTACTCAAAATTGTCCATAGGAGACACTATAAACGCTTGTACACGTCATCAGTTTATAGATATCCATGAATATTGGCCCTAGAATTTTTGCTCTCACTCTGGTGCACGTGGCGATACTTAACATGTGTAGCGCATTCATCGTTTTCGTGCATAGTTGCACCTGATGAGTGTTTGCATTAATATGCAAACGCTCATGAGGGTGAGGGACTTTAAATGTAAAAATTATCTTAAAAAAAAAAAAAAATGTAACACTTTTATTTTTTTTAACATAATTGATATTACATAGGGGGCTTACAAGACCTGAATTGATGCAATCAGCATCACTTCCAGTCCCATTCAACATGGGGGAGGAGATTGGCAATTGGCGCACTTCACCGATCCCTGGAAACCATCTGGCGGCAGCTCAGCCATCAGAATCGCTTGCAGCATAAAACCAACAGCCAACTTTACACATGTAAACAGAGCCACCGGGAGACTGTTTTAAAGGGGCCCACTGCCAACGACTTATTACATACGTCGGTGGCAGCAAAAGGGTTCAAGAAAATGTTTATTTTATTAATCTGTGCTAGACAAAATCTAGAGCCAGTATACCAAAAAAATGCCATTATCACCTAACCTTTATAAACATATTTTTCTGATCGCAATGGGGGCACAGAATTGTTGCTTAAGACAGGCAGATGATTACAAAACTGCATTTTTGCCCATGTCACTTAATTATTATTTTGTTGCATTTGTTTTTTTCATGTGAATTTTAATTGGGCTCTGCCAATAAGTAGTGTAAATGCTGTCAGTCTGTAGACAGTAACCCATATACCCAGTTCCAGATTACCTTGTTGCTACAAGTGCTTTTTTCCTCTGACTGTGTGTCATTTTGGAACAGGAGTAGGCTTTTTAAATGATATGGTTGTCTTAATATTCCTTTTCCCAAACCATTCCCTGTTCATTGTATAGTTGCTCTCTTATTGACAGTACTTATTACTTATTGGCTCATTATTTTGTTGCTAAGTGTTACATTCTGAATCCTTTATGTCTCAAAGCTTAAGCAGTGAATGGTTCCTTTTTATAATGGCAAGTTTCTTGTTACAAAAATATCACTGTAGAAAAAAAAGTTTTTTTTCCCAAGTCCTCTTCCAGGGCAGCATCTGAGAGAGAGAATCCACCCACCCAAACAGGAAACACATCATCTACAATTAAAATAAAAGGGGTGGGTACAGCCCCACCACCTCAGTTTTTTGTGCTTCCTCCGGCCCAACAGGAGCATCGTAACCGTTTTGTTATTTTCTCTATAGGCCTGCGTGCTAGTTGCAGGGGCCTCCCAGTGTGTTCTCCCCCGTGAATCAGGGACAGTGGACCTGGGGGGTTGCATGCCTGGGCTTGTCCGAGGATTAACCTTCAGGTTATTCTATTATGGGCTAACTACTTGGGGGTGGTTGGTTAATAGAACACCAAGCCCATGACAAGTAGTTTAAAGGGTTGTACCATGATGTCAACACCTTACTTCCCTCCTGCAAACTACTAGTAGGTTCGGGTCGGTGACGGCTTGGGCATGCTGCAGACTCTTTGCAGCCTATATTTTGTCAACCTTCAACCCCTTACATGGCTTAAGCACTGTTGTTCTGAGTTCCCTGGGCCTCACAAGGTTATTCTTGCATGTCTTCCCTCTTTATCGAGCATCCATGTTATAACAGTAAACTTTGTGCCAGATTTACAGCAGCTGGCTGCTGCTGCTCGTGCTCCCAACATATAGGATAGTGCCCTTATGTAATTTTATGGTATCTATGTTACGCCACATCGATAAACTGAACATATCAGATAGTGTTCTTACGTAATCAGTGGTGTCTGTTACACCACATTGATAAACTGGGGGCAAGTTGACCCAGTTGGTATTACTGATGGCAGTGTAGGGCTGCAGCCAGACTTGCCACTTACATTTTTTATTCTACCTCGTCTATGAGTAGTAACAAGATCCTTCATCCAGGCTACAGAAGTTGCCAGACGCTACTTAGAAGTCAGTCACCCTTGGAGGAAATCCAAGGATATTTTGGCCTGTTCAGAGCCTTATGAAGACTGTAAAGCGGCATAACACCAATGCCTTGTGACTTCAGCTATTCATTGACCTTTCATCCTCCAAAGGATTTCTGGCATGCTCCAAGAGGACATTAGTCTTCTTGGACCTGGGAGTGCTGAGGTTTCCCCAGAGCATATCTGGAGGAAAGCCGCTAGATCCAGTGCCAACCTCTGGTATTGCACTGCAGAGTGGTCGTCCTCTACTGCTGATACCAATCTTTTGGCAGGGAGGAGGCGCTTGGAAGTTGCCCCCCCCCGCCCCCGAAAAAGTATGATTTCTTGCCTAATCTCTCAGATGCTGCCCTGGAAGATGACTTGGGGAAAAGCAAGTTAGGTACCTGGTAACTTATTTTCCAGGAATCTTCCAGGGCAGCAGGGATTCCCGCCCTGCCTTTTGAGGGGTGTGTTCAACATTGTTTGCATTATTACTATCTAGTGGTCCTTCTACCTACGGTTCTTTTGTAATACTGAGGTGGTGGGGCTGTACCACCCCTTTTATTTTAATTGTGGATGATGTGTTTCCTGTTTGGGTGGGTGGATTCTCTCTCTCAGATGTTGCCCTGGAAAAGAAGTTACCAGGTACCTAACTTTCTTTTTTCCTTTCTCATCGATTGAAGGGCACAGGAATTCTTTCATCTTCAGGTTATATTGCCCCCTACAGGAGAACTGGACACTGGCAAAGAAAAAAAACTGTAGGCCAGCCTAGGATAACCCCCTCCTTCCGACATACCTTAGATTTTTGCTAGTGTCCTGGGAAAATTAATGCCTTCAACTCTGGTGTGTTAAGACTAACCTGTTTTTGTTTCTTACCCTTTTTTTCTTAATATTTCTCCTTTCCTGTCAAGTTGCACTCTTATTGGTCTGTTAGTGCTTTGCAGCTTTAATCAAGTGGTTCCCAGTTTTGCAAGGCTGCTACTTGGTCTTGTGTTCACATATTCTCTAAAATATACAATGGATGTTTCAACCTCATCTGAAATGCACCTGCCAAATTCTGAAGGATCTCAGAAGTATCACAAGTTGATATTGAAGTGATGCCATCAACCGAACCCCAATGCCCATTGATAATTATTCTATCTCGTCCTTTAGTTTTGGAACTTTGGATCTGGGTACTTGTGCAATTCATATATTGATTTTTTTTTTCTCCCCTTAAATGTATAGGCTTTATCCAAACCTCCAGCTAGCACTGGAATTCCACCTCAGCCACCAGTGCCTTCAGTATTCATGCCTCAACCAATGCACACAACAATGGGTCCCCCTCCATCCGTCCCATTCCAGCCTGCCTCTGCCCCACATTCTAATGCCTATCCAAGGGCTGGAGCTTGGCCTTCTTATCCACAGCAACAGCCACAGCCAGGGATACCAGGTGAGAACATTGACCTTGTATAGCATTTTAGCCAAGTAAGTAAGAATGCTATGGTGAAACCAAGGCTACTGTCTTATTGAAAGTGGTAAGTTAGTTGTTATCTATGATTGCACACTTTTGTTTGCGCTTACATTTTAAAAATTTCTATGCCAACTTTGTTCACTGCTCTCCTGAATGGAGGTACTATTTATGACTACTGATCTTGAAATGGGAAAACTTGCATGATCCTGCAGGTACCTCTGTTTATTACATAGCACATTGGAGGAAGATTTATCTTCACTGCTCTCATGTATTGAAAAATTTAGGTTCGAGGTACCCTTTCTGGCTCTGGCTTCTAGGGAGTTCTAGGCAGATGTTAAGAATGCAAGCCTTATGCACCTTTTTGACTCGCCACCTGACACCCAGTTTTACACCTCTTTCTGGATCTATGGAGCCCGTTCAATATGTAGCACTACTAAGCTGGAAGCTGACCCACCATATGTAAATAATACATGTATATTGCCCCAAGCATGTATTACAAACTAGACCTAGAAACAAGTTGTTGTTTTTTTTTCTCCAACACATGATAAAATAGTTTTCAGTGAAGTCGAATTTTAGGAAGACCTCTAAATACACAGTTGAAATGTATGAATGTGACTTGTCTAACCTGCCAGAAGATCAGTGATTCTGGTCACCTAGTCTTGTGTTTCAGAAGCACCTGTCAGCATGGTCATGTCCTGGACCCTACAGTGCACTACAGCTTGGTCCTGCTTATTAGACAATGAAGGAACAGTGGCTCACTGCTCTTTCCTCCTCTCAAAAAGTTATCTCATGGTTTCAAAAAGTTTCTAGTTAAACTTATGATTACACAATGACTCTATGTAAAGCAGAACTCTGGGGGAAAAATATTCTTAACTTGCAGTTGCAGGGGGTTAACTGCTTGTTTTCGTCTGGGGACTAAAATAAAAAAATAAAAGTTATACTCCCCTGAACCTCTGTGACAATGCTCCCTCCAGCCTGGCTCCTTCGCCGCTGCAGCAATGGAATGTCGCCCTGGGCCCTTACGTCAAGTATACAGTGTATATAATGCGATGTTTTACAGGACTTTAGACCACTGCAGCGTAGGGGGAGAAAGGCTCCAGGGACCAGTCTAAGAGCAAGCCAGCTTGGAGGATCAGGTGGGTATAACTTTATTTTATTCCCTAGACACAAACGACCAGTTAATCTTTGCAATGCCGAGGTAACACCACTGCATGGGTTATTAATAATTTTCCCCAGAGTATGCTGAGGGAAAAAACATTTATTTTTCGGTTCCCTTTAGGCTTGCAGTTAAGATAATATATAACTAAAAGTTCTGGTAGATGGAGCAGCTTGTTTTAGGTAATCCCACTTAGCTGTAGGCTGGGGGTGGGGGGTGCGTCTGACAAGGTGGCTGCTAGATATGTATGTAGTTTCAGTTTATGTAATCCAGCCTTCTGGCAAGACCCATCCTGAATCATGTGGTTTAGCTTTTTGTTAATAAAGATTAGCAAACGCCATGCGTTGCAGGTGTCACTTCTTTTATGTGCAATGTAACTTTAAAAAATAATATTTTAAAACATTTATTACTGTCTGATTTCAGAGAATGTAGGTTTTAATCCCTTAGAATTCTTCTACTTGAGCAAGCTGTGCCCCTTTTACCATTTAATTCTCCCATAATTGCTTTTACTTGCTCGGCGTAGGCGCTTAGTAGCATAAATTCTGCATGAGGTCTGTCACTCTTTGTCTGCTATGCATTTAGATCGCTGAAAGACTGGTGGCAGGTGGGTGGGGAACTGGTCACATCTCAAGTGCTTAATCCGCCAACTGTTGCCAAACACTCCAGTGGCTGTGGGAGATTTCTGCAGGTCCTTGATGTGGTTTTGTTTGAACACAATTCTCCTGTGTTGGCTCATTGTGCCCACTCTTTACAAGGAGATGGAGGTATAATAGCAGTAGAGAAATAAGTTTCTCCTGGCCTGTGACTTCCAGGCTGCAGACAAGTGTATTAATGAGAGAACTTCTCTGTCCCCGTCTGCTTGACTTTCTGAAAGATGGGGTTTTTCTTCCTGTTTTTTTAAAGCGCCTACTTCTTAAACTGGAAGGAATGCTGATTTTATAAAGATTTTTTAACGATTGCAAAATTACTATTCAATATTAGAAATATAAAAATATGACTGATTTTGTGACCACATGCGATGGCAATCTCGCATATGAGTTTGATACCGGATACCACATGTTGCTACTTGTACACATGCACTGCAAAGGCTTTTGTGCCGGTTAGAGATTAGTGTCTCTTGACTCATCATTGTTCTTCCACATATTTGCATGATCTCTTTACAAAGAAACTGATGCTTTTTATGGGTTACCTGAGGTCAGTCCTAGACCAAACCTAGGCAACTGTTGATTGCTAATGGCAACATCATAAGATGCAAAAAAACAGGGAGTTTAAGTTGTGAACGCACATTGCTTTTAGACTGGCCTCTTAGTTTTGCCTATATCTTTTATGCAGCAGATGAGCTGCAATGCTTTTTAAACACACATTTTCACTTACTCCCCAAACGACACAAAACTACGAGTTATTTGTTTATTATTTGTGCCGCAACCATTACATTGTGGAGTATCTTTGTTTCGGTCAACAGAGTACTCGGAGCGGTAGGAGAGATCACTTTATCACCTGGTGAACATGTGGCTTCCTCTGTACTACTGTCACGATACACAAGCTGTATCAGCATTATGTCCACTGCTATTGCTGTTGTGCAAGGACCACATCTTCATATTCAGTTGTTGATCACTTGTTTTACGGGTGAGTCAGTTCTCACAGCTGGTTTGCAGAATGCAACTTTAGTTTACCATCAGATCATTGGATCTGCTATTGTAGGGTTAGATTTAGCGAGGGATTAGGCGTGTAAGTGAGGTGGATTTACCTGTAGACATGAGATAATCATTTCTCGGTTTTGGCAGGTGCTGTGTCTGTGGGCATGCTCACACTGCTAAAGACATCCCTGGTCAGCTAACCTCAGTGGGAGATGGTTTGGGAAAGTTAAATGATTGAAATAGGTTACTTATGTGTTTCTGATTCAAAAGTTTGTTTTCAGAACATTTTGTTTTTTCTAATAGATAATGGAGTCAAATCGACTATTATTTTCAATAATAGTGGGGGGAAAAAATCAAAGGAGCAGGGTGAAAAATATTTCTCAATCTAATGTAATTTCAAGAATAAATGTGGTTTTCCTTCGAGTAACTCCATTCATTCAAATTCAATCCAAATTTTGAGTGATAATTGACGAGTCTGTGACATTATCAAATGTGCCGACAAGATTTTACGCATGACACTCATACACAAATCTACCGGTGTATAACCAGCTGTAGAGTAATATTGCGCTTGCCATTGCTGAGTTGTCTGGCTCCCATGTGGATTAATTGGCAGTACTTAAAGTCCTTTGACATGGAACAAAATATACAGCAAGTGAAATCAGAGTGAAGACTGAACTCTTCATAGGCATACTTTTCCAGGTTTAAGTCAAAATAAAGCTTTTGTAAAAAGATAGTTTAGCAATAGCGACCTTCATATTTCTGTCAGTACAAGCTTCCTTTAAGCATGCACATGAAAAAGGTTTTTAGAAAGGAGGTCTTTCAGCATTTAGATTGTGTGCTCCACATCTAACTGTCCTGAGGTTTCCCATATATGTTGCATCTCACTGCCATTTTTGCTAAAAAAATACCAAAAAACCCCCAAACAATTCTCTGGGTTTTTTCTGTAGCCCGTTTCTTGATTTTATCAATGAAAAATAAAACATTTGTAAGTATTTTTGTGATAAAAAAACAAAAACATTTTTGCAGGACCATATTGCCAAACGAAAGCCTAGTTTGTTCTTAAACTAATAATGGCTTCCTCAGGGGTGCTTCAAAATATTCACACAGGGTCAGGCCTTTGCTAGGTGCAGGCATGCCGGCTGCCAAGACCATGAAAATGAATGATGCTAATCCTGGGAGGGTGGGATCCGTTGAGAAAAGAACAGACATTTGCCTCCTTCCAGGCTTCCTCCACCTTCTACTGTCTGCGATGCTAATACTTAAGGTTTCCATGACTAAATAAAGGTTCAGAAACCATGGTCTAATAAATGGGTCCATAATGGAAATGTAAAAATGGAGTCCATTAGGGGTATGAAGATATGAGATCCTAAGTGGTTAAATAGACGGTCCTTTTTTTGTGAGGTTTTTCCACGCGGGCAAAACCTCTATCTTGCGTGGCGCTGAGTTTGGCATTGAAGTCCGTGTGTGTGTGTACATTGACCAAGAGGAACATTTAAGTGGGGCATATTGAAATGAAATAGAATTGTGACCATCATTGTTTTTGAATCTTCCAATATTGTACGATAGTCTGAATTTTGAGCAATAAAAATAGGCAAAAGGACCAGAGTGTTTCCAAAATATGTTTTATGGTGTAAATATGTTGAAAGGTTAAGATTTGTACTAAGCTGACATTGCTTACTATGTTATCTTCTTGCAGGTTTTGTACAGTGTCAACCATTCAAACAGACAGCCCAGATTCCAACAGATACTAGTTTAACGCCATCGCCAGTGATGGGACATATGCCGCCTTTCGCTCCTATGAATGTTCCTAGCGTTTCTGTTCCGTCTGGAAGCATGATCTTCCCTCCAACCTCCCACCAATCCTCATATGGGTCTAATACTTATCCAGTTTCAGGACCATCTATGTTTATGGGTCAGCCTCCAACTCCACCCACTATGACTGCCTCCTTTACTCCATTTAACTATCCAGTGGGGTTAGGATTTCACCACAGTGGACCAGGGGCCCCTGCTAATCGACCACCACCTCCAACAGGTATGTTTCTGTATTACAAAAGAGAAAATATGATCAGTCCTCTACCATGTAATAGTTGGAGTTAAGCTACTAAAATAAACAGGACACATTAAAGTGAGCACATGATAAAAAAAAAATGCAGAAGCTACCTTCAGTCAATACTGTTCAGTCAATACTGTGTCAGAGTAGATTCGGAGAGAGACAACTGAAGTTTTTTGCACATCTTGACCTTTTATTGTAAAATACAAGCTTTATATTGACCCTCCCCCGTTACAACTGTCAAGGCATGTGATGAAGACTCTACCTGAAAATTTTCCATTCCATAACTTAATTCTGGGTCTACTAATATAAATTTGGCAAATTAATTAAAATTGTTTCCATCCAATTTCCTAGCTTGAATAAGCTATAAGGGAATCGAGCATTAGTTTGATGTTTCCAAAACCAAGCACGGGGACCACACACTGAGCATGTTTTCCAGAATTACACTTGCAATAATTAGTTTCACTTATTCATCTGTGATCCTACATTGAAACTTGAAAACATACTCCATAAGAGTATGTTTCCTGAGGACAAGAGCTGCAACATTCTTACATTTTAAACTTCCTTTGTTCTGGCTCGATGTTTTGTATCCCAATAGTTCACACAAGTTTTAAGAATGTGCATTATAACCTGGGTAAATTTGCAGCAAAGGGTGTACATTTGAGCAGTGGTCAATGTAAAAAGATGTACGGCAGTTACGGAAAACAAATGTATTAAATCTTCTTTATTTATGTTGGGTACTTGTTATATAAAAACTTTATTGTGCAAATAACATGCAATTTAGGATGCACCCTTGACACTGGTATCACAAAGCAGAAGCTGTTTAACCTTCAGCTTGTTTCTGTCTAATATAAACTCCTGCCTGAACAGGGCAGACAGGAAGAGGGATGGGGGAACCCTGGGGCTAGCTGTAAATAAATATTAAATGGCCATATGCAATATTTCTTTTACCTGACAAAAAAACATTTGTAATAATTGCGCACCTTATATTAAACATTTAAAAAAAATGAGGAAAAATTAATAAAACACTTATCAAAACACTATCATATACCCTTCTAACTTAAAAATGTTTCTAAATGTGTTGAATAATCTTTTAATTTCTAGGTTCTTTTCCCTGGCTGCAGAATAGGCAAGATGCAGCAGGTAAAGCTTTGCGGCATGGATGTTACTCCCTTGTGCTGCTTGTATCGTGTGATTGGCTTTGTGAAAAGCTCATAATCTTATATTCAGTACATAAACATATATTTCATTTTGCTGTATAGCACAATTTAAGTGTTACATGTGTGCCTATTATTATTATTATCTGTAGGCAGATGAGTTTTCCAGTTATTGTCAATATGTCAGGTATATAAAGGATTGATATAGAGTTATTGAAGGCTTAAAGGGAACTTTTGCTTTGCCCATGCAAAGGTTCACTTTAAAGGAGAACTATGGGTCAGTGCTTTTCCCCATAGTTCTCCTAAGGGTAACGGGAGGACACAAACTAGCGTCCTCCCGTCACCCAAAGCTCAGTATACCGCAAGCTACAGCCGCAGCCGGGACGGATCCCGACAATACTGTCTGGATCCATCCAGCTGCGTGAGTGACAGCTGGCTCTGCCTATCTAGAGGCAGAGGCAGCTGTACCCTCCCCTGTCCGTTCCGCCAGTCGGCGCTGGAGGATCGGACAGGGGAGGAATCCCTGCAGGGAGCCGTGAGTGACCGTCACAGCTCTCTGCAGGCACAGGATCGAGAAGTGAGCGAGCGCCGGTATGTGTTCGCTCACTTCCCGATCTATTGAGCCAACGTGTGACAGTTTCATTGTCACACGTCAGCTCGAACTATGAGACTGAATGATTTTCACTCACCTCATAGTTCTCCTTTAATGAAAGCCCCACCGTCTGCACATACTTGGCTTTTTCTGCCCCTGCATTGAAGTTTTTTTGTGAGTTTTGTTTAAAAGAAGGAACACATACTGGGTCCTCAAATTGCACTTTCTCCATTCCTCAGCTGTGAACCCTATTTGAGGAATGTAAATTGCAATTGTGCTATGTATCACAAAGTAAGATCACTCACGCAACCAACAAAAGGGAAAGGAGACCAGGCTACTTTGTTTAGATTCGTATTGTAGCATACCACCACCAATTTATTACATTCTAAGTAGTGTTCTGTTTTTGTACATAATACACTTCACATATGGTTTTTATACAGACATTACAAAGCTGAGAATGCTCATTTCCAATGTGCTTTTAGTTTTTAATAAAATAATTTTGTGGGTTTTTTTTCCTGTGCTTTTTGAGCATTTTATTACTCCAGCAGTTACCTATATTTGAAAGTACTAATAAATGTAAATGGCAGTCAGGAAGGGCATTGGCCACTGATGAGGCTTTGATTAGGCTTTTATGTTTTGTAGCATGTCTATTTTTTTCTGTCACAGACAAAATGAAATGGATATCTGCCATTGATTACATGTATTAGGAGATAGAGTATTTAATGGGAGTTCAAGGCTATGGGGTTGATTTACTAAAGGCAAATAGGCTGATCACTTTTCAAAGAGAGTTTGCAAAATAAGTGTCCCCTTAGCTTATGTGCAAGGAAACTGGAAAATTTTTTTTATTTTTTTCTTGGACATGATTGGATGATGTCAACAGAGCTTCACCTCATACACTAAGCTAACAGAAAACTTCCTGTGCAACATGCAAAGTCAACAGCCTAGTTGCCATTAGTACATCAACACCAGTGTGTCCTGGTTCTTCAAATATCCCCAGCTTCTTAATCAATAAAGTACAGGACACAAGATCTTTGTCTTAACCATGGGTTATTCTGCCACATTGAGGTGATTGGATGCCCTGCTGGAAGGACAGCCCTCGTATAACACCTCCCACTTCCAACAAGCCTTAATTTTTTACTAGTGTCCTTAGGTGATGAACAACGTCTCTCTGCTGTGAGAGTAACAAATTAGTTTCTTTCATTTTTTATTCTTAGCCTTGGATGTCTGCTGGGCCCAAAAAGCTTAACTTTCCACTCCTCAGTGACTGATTTGTGCATACCATCTTGGGGGACATTCTCTCCCTTCCCTTGAGGCCTCCACTGCTCCCTTTTGGTGAACTATTCTCCTCCTGTCTGTCCTGTTACTGACCTGGCCGTTTCCTACCTAATAAAACCTTAAAGTTTAGCTAAAACCGAAGATCCCTGTCGGTGTTAATTATTTTTTTCACCTGCGATTCAGCCAATGCCACAATTCCTGTCTTAGTGTGGCTCCATCCTACTGAGGACCACTGGAGCCACACTTGGACAGCAGCCTTGTCACCCTAGAAAGAGGGTAGTGTTAAATGCACTAGCAGATTTAGATGGATTTGACTGTCAAGTAAAATCTGAACTTCAGCTAACACTTTCTAAGCAGTTGCAGCAACACTTCTTTTTTTTTTTTTGGTAAAAAGGTTTTACATAAATCGGTAAAAGATAACCCTTGTAAACACCTCTGTCAGTGTTAAATGGTTTGTCTCAACCCTCTTTCTGCCACAGTTTGGTCTGGTAAAGGACATTCTTGTAACTTACATTTCCACTGGAAGACTTTAAAACCCACCAAGTCCAGGAACAAGCCCTCCTCACAGCCATTTGGTCCCAAAACATTCCAGATCTCTGGTTCCAGAGTGTAGTACCAATAGACTAAAAACTAGAGTTTCAGTCTCAGCCTCCTCCCTGCTTCATGCTATCAAATTTGCTATCCTCCCCGCAAGAGCAGACAGATCTGTATGCTGTTCTCCTGCCTCTTCTTATTGCCCCCAGTCCCAAACAAGGAACAATTCCAGTGTTTCTTGAATCTATTTACTATTCCCAAGACAAGAGGGACTCGGCAACAGATTCCTGCAGGTTAAGCTCTACAGGGAATCTTCCAGGTCAGTCATTGCCTCTCTTCAATCTGGGAATCTTTTGGGCTCTGTGGATATCAAGGATACTTACACATTCCCATTATTCTCTCCTCCACGCTAGCTGCATTTTGCTGTGGGCATGTAACATTACCAAATGTGTTGCCCTACCATTTGGTCTGTCCACAGCACCTCTTGCCTGTGTCCTAGCTCTGCTCCGTTCTCAGTGTATCCATGTAGTGGGATATCTGGATGATCTCCTTCCAACGGAATAGTCATTCCAGGTCCTGTCAGCCAATGTCCAGGGGACGGTGTAGACTTTTGACCTCCCCATCGTCCTCAACAGTCCTTTTAACAATGGTTGAGAGTAAGATACTGTGTCTTGTACTGTACTCCAAGAAACTGATTTAAAAGGTAAGTCAAATATACTCTTCAACTTGTGATCTAAATTTTGCTTATGCTTTAGTAATGGCTTTGTTATGCTGACAGTGTGCTTACTGCAAGCTTTGCATATGAGTTTTGAATCATTACAAACATGTCTGAGTGATTAAAAATCGGTTGATGTTGATGATGATAAGAAAATCTTATTTGTCCATGTTCTGCTTCAAAGAAATGACCGTTCCCATCTTATTTTTTTAACATGTTAGAAAATCTTTCCCGGTGTCACAGGCAATGTTTGAAATTTTTGCTTACCTTTATAAGACCATGTAAGGCTACTCTTAGAAGGTGTACAATTCAGCCAAAAATTACTTTTGAACAAGTGACAAACAATCTTTCACAGGCAATTTTATTGTTCACCATGCTGTGATTCAGACCTCTGTGCATTATGCAGCATGTGATGAGTAGTTTTACATAGAGGCGATTCTAGATTGCGCTGCTTTGCAAATGGGAATCCTCCTTACCCCTCTGCAGATGGTTGATTCGCACATATTTCTGTACACATTATGTACTGCTGTATATATTTTATATCATATGTTTCTCATCACCAGGTGAGCATGAAGGTTGGGCTGATTCACTGAAATCTGGTATCCAACGAAATAAGGTAATATAGCACCTCAAAGTTGCTTCATTGTTGGCTGTAAAATCAAATTCACACCTCTTTAGATCTTTGTTTTCTAGGAAAAAAGACAATTTGCAAATTGCACTTAATTAACAGTCTCAGAATGATGAACGAATACTTTTGCAAGTTTTTACTGAAACTAATAATTGCTTAATCTACAAAGATCTTCTAAAATGGCCTGGTCAGATTTGTTTGTACACCTAGAAAAGATTATAAATAATTGGATCAAAGCGACATTTCAAAATTCACAGTTTTCGAATCACAATGTCTTCCCTCTTGTAATCAGTCAATTGGCCTATTTAAAGGGAGAATGTAGTCATTCTGCTGTTTTTGATATTTTGTGCACCACACTGAACTTTGACCAGAGAAGCAAAAGAGTTGTCCGAGGAGATCGGAAAGAACAGTATAGACCAGCATATCAAATGACCGTCTCCAAGAAGTTTGATGTTCTGTGATACAGCTGAAATATAATTGAGAAGTTTAGGGTCCATGGGATTTGACCCCAGAATAAAAAGAATGATTGTGTGAATGTGAAGCAAGGAGCCAAGGAAAACTTCAAAAAGCAAAGGTCCATCCTTTGCTTTTTGTGTAACAGTAGGCTTAACAGATCCAGGAGTAAAGAAAAACATAAGCCACACTGTAATGTGTTAAAATGCATATTAGCAAGCCACAATGCTTCTGGGAGAATCTCCTTTAGACAGATAAGACCATACTGAAGCTTTTTAGCAGGTCACATCAGCTCTATGTTCACAAATGAAAAAATTAAGCTTTCAAAGAAAAGAACATTGCACCTACTGCGAAGCATACTGCCCAGTATCAGAAAGATCTGTCATAAGTCATGGGTCCTCCTATAGGATAATGACTAAAAGCACCCAAGAATCGCTAAGAACAAAACATTGAACTATTCTGAAGTGACCTTCTATGAGCCCTGATCTGATTCATGTTGAAACATCTATAGAAAGAGCTGAAGCATCCAGTCTAGAGAAGACACCCTTCAACTTGTTTGCCATGATAACCTCTAAAGGCTGCGCAACAATATATTAGGCAAAGGGTAGATACCAACAGATAATAGTGTAAATGTAGCCTGTAGGTTTTTTTTCAATCAAGCTCCAGGCAGACGGTTAAGTGCATTTTATATATGTCTGTCTAGATAGATATATATGGGATGCAACGATATACTGGCCGCCGAAACATATCGGCCAAAAACGGCACTTTTGGCTAAATGCAGAAAGTGCAATTTTTCTGCCGATACATTGGCGCATCCCTGCTTTCTTTCCTTCCCGCTGGGCGCTGCTCTGTGTCCCAGCGGGGAGGAGAGAAAGTGTGACAGCCGAGCGCTGCGGGAGGAGAGCGCGGTGAGCGACCGGCGTCTTTCCTCCCACACTGCTCAGCCTCCTATCACAGTTCGGCAGAGCGGTGTGGGGGCAGAGGCAGCCCGCGCTGTCACAGGAGGCTGAGCTCTCCTCCCTGCACCACTCGCTCAGCCTCCTGCCTGTGACAGTGTGTCAGAGTGGAGAGCAAGTGCAAACACTCAGACATCAGTGATAGCTGAGTGTTTGTAGATAATTGAGGACATGGTATGTGTACTATATCCTCAATTATGAATGTATGGGAAGCGATCTACATCACCTCCTGTTCATTCATAGTTGTATTTATAGTAAACACACCATGTTCTCAAGTTATGAATGAACAGGAAGACTCATAGATGATTCCTGTTCATTGATAACATGGGCTGCAGAAAAAGAGATTGAGGACACAAAGTCCTCTATCTCTTTTTCTATTTTAAAACGGAAATATCAGGGGTCTGTTTTTAGACTCCCAATATTTCCCCGAAGCCCCTAAAAGTAAAGCAAAAAATAAAAATATTTAATAAAAGATGAATTAATAAATGTAAAAAAATTAAAAAGTTTATAAAAAATAAATATCAAATATTAAAAATATATATATCTAGATTTATGACAAAAATATCATATATTGCAGGATACTAGTCCTTATATGTCTGATACTTTTGTTCAGCCACTCTTATTGTTCACACACCACGCTACACTGCATAGCCAGGATGGTGATGCAACCTTTCACTATTGTGACCTCTGGAGTCATCTGCCTGAGCATAACATACTGCCAAAGTCCTACCAGTATTTGTCCACCACTAAAAGCTGCCTGAGAGCCCCCCTCCAATATCCGTGAATTAAAACATATTAGACTGACAGCATTGTTCAGTGATGCAGTGTCTGGCTCAGTTCACAACCCCCTACTCTGTCACATGTAAATTCTTATTCCCAGTCTATAGGCAGTATTTTAAAATCCTATTTAATAAATAAATGCATAACTGGTCTTTTTTGTATGGCTATGTAGCGAGGATGTAACAAAAGGGTTTACAACTTAGGATAAACTGGAGAGGACTATGTATATCAGCAGAGGCCTCCCCAACCAGGCTTCTGCATTATATTCTGCACAATGAGTAATTAGTTCATTTTGGCCCTGTAAAGATCATGGCTGTTAGTGCTTCCTGTGGAAGAAATCCCCAGTAAGCCACACTGTTGAAGATGCTCAGGATATCTTTTCACTGTGGCCTTCATCTTTGCCTGTGCTCTCACACATTAAAGCTTTTGGCTTTCTTAGAAGGCCTGGCTCGGAATCAGCTGCAGGCTGAGCTCACCACAACAGGATTAGCTCCTCGTTAAAACTTTCTCCTTTTATGTGGCCTTGTTGGAGGGAATCTGTCCTGTCTACGTGGCTTCGCCAAGGAGGAATAAAGTGCTCCTATCCCAATCTGACTCATGTCATAGGACTTTCTATTTTGTCTCCCGTTACCCCTTCTGCAAATCCAGCATTATAAGGCAGTTTTCTGCACTTCAGTCACTATCGTGACTCCTCCTGCTGCTGTGTAATACGGGTGGCAAAGTCAATGTATTCTCTGCCTCGTGTGAAATGCTTTGAATACATTTCAATGCACAGGAAGCTGGCAGAGTGTGCTTCCCCTTGCATGGGCAGATAATGAAATAATGTTGATAATTAATGATACCATCACTATTCTCACTTTCTTTCTCACTTCCAGACAATGTGAGAGTTAGGCTTTATATCGGCACCTGTATATACATAGGCAGTGTTTTAATCTTAGCTTGTAAATGTTAGTCTAAAGAACACAAGATCTACAAAGCACTAATAAAGCATTCAGCAAATGTAAAGCGTATCTAAAGCCAAGAACAAAAATGTCATATATTGCGGGATACTAGTCCTTTAGATGCTGCATTAGTTTTTTATTCAGGCTTATTTTCTCTCTTATTTTTATCTGGTGATCCTGCCAATAACACATTTCCTGTCCTAGGGTGACAACCTTATCACTATAAAATAAGGGAGATGTTCTGTAGTTCAGAGAAGAGAACAAGTACAAAGGGATATTAGATTTTGGCAGGATCAAAAGGTATTTTCCATTATTTACGTGATAATTTCGAAAGTCTGAAGAAAGAAAACAAATGCAGCCACCAGAACTGAGGACTGCTAATGTTCAAGATAATAAATGTTGTTTTGGGGGTTTAGATATCCTTTTAAAGCTAATTCTTGAAGCGCTTAAAGCACCCTTAAGTTCCAGTCTAAGAACACTGAATGCACTGTTCGTGTGGGGAATGCTGGGTGCTTTAACCCTTTTGCTGCCATGCCCTCTGGAACATTTTGTACCTAAGCTGGCCACATCATTTTTGCAATTGTTCCCATTGATTTGATTTTCAACTGCTGCGTTGCTAGCGTTTGTAAAAGACCCCCCAAACCATATATTTTCTGAAAGCGCAAGCCCGGTAGAATAAAAAGATGGTGCTACTAAATTTGTTGTCCCTGCAATAATTGCACAAAATTTTCTCAAATTAATATTAAACCGATAAAAATACACAATTAAATCGATAAAGCACACTAGAATCAGTATCCGTGCACAAAAAAAAAAAATTCTGACTAAATCTAAAAGATAAAACTGTATTCAGTTAATAAATAACAAATATTTTGACATTTTAAATTGCGCCTTTTTGCGAAAAGGTAAAAAAATGAAAGGAAAGCAAAACTGTAAATAAGCGACTTGTGTTAAAAATTGTTTTTTCGCTGTGTTGGTGTTTGTGTTGTGATACCTTGTGTTGCAATTTAATATACGCCTGTATCATTTTATCACAACGCACAGCAATGCTTCACAAAGCTGCCACGGTTAAATTAATGTTTTTTTAAAAAGAGAGAAAAATCATACACTGCGATGCGTTCTAACAACACACTGCAGCGCATGTGCATGGCGTACACCACAATATGGTGCACGTGTATGTTATGTGTGGGGAGGAGGGGGAGGGTTTGTGTTTTTTTGTGTTCTCAAGGCTTCCCATTCATTCAGAAACTGTTGATGGTAAAATATTTACTATCAACAGGTTCTGAATGGGGAGAAGCCTCTGTAGTAAGTGCTACAACCTATTCAGAAAGTCATGAATGAACAGGAAGTGATGTAAATCACATTCTGTTCATTCATAACTGGGGACACATAGCTCTACGTGTCCCCAGTTATTTACAAACACTGGAGTGATCAGACGATCACTCCAGTATTTGTCCTTCTTGCAGAGGATCGGTAAATGTCACTGATATTTACCGATCCTCCGTTCGGCCACGCACACAGCAACTGTCAACCCGGAAACTGACAGGATGACAGCGGCTGCTCTCTCCTCCACGCTGGGCGGCTCTCATGCCCCGCCGGCCATTTCTATTCGGGATCCCTGTTGCCTCAGCCCCTACAAGCGGGGGAGAGCAGCGGGGATACGTGGAGTCACGGATCCCTGGAGCGGCTCCAGGGAGGGATGAGTGGCTGAACATGCCGGCGGCCATCGGGGGGAATTTTTGTTAATAGCTGTCATCAGCGGCTTGTGAGGACCTGGGGAACAGTTCTGATATAAGTTCACGGTCGCTAACCATGACCATGAGCTTATAGCAGAACTGTAAATGGCACCGCCGTAGGGCATACTGAGCTGGCCAGCTGGGAACGTATGCCTTACGGCGGTGTCAGGGAAATGGTTAAACAGGTCTTTTGGCAGGCTTCAGCTAGGTTTTCTAATATTAAAGGCTTGTTTTAAGGCTAAAGTCAGTATTCTTATTGAGAACTCTTTTTAGCACTTACTAGCTGGAGCTGAAGGCTGTTTTAGTGGCTTCGAGAGAGCTGCTTGAAGCTTTTTAAATATTTTGCAACTGCTTTCTAAAATGATTTTTCAGAGTTGGCTTTACAAGCTGGATTTATACAGTGCCCCTGCCTTCATTTATTTTTTCAATCACAAAATTCAGGTGCCTTTTGGATGCCCCTCACCACAGCCTTAAAATATATTTTCGGTTATAGCTAAATTTCAAACTCCCCTACCCTCCTTGAATAATCTCCTTAACTATAGTGAGAGACCTTAGTTGCAGACAGGCCTTCGCTAGCAGTGGCTATGACATCACATGCTATGCACACCGATAGAGAAGAATGCATTTCCTGCTCGCATACACCAGAGTAGAGAAGGGCACAGCCATTATTTACTATGTACACCCATGGAGAAGACTGCATTTTCTGTTTACATGCACCAGAGTAGAGATGGGCACATCCAGTATTTACTATGTATACCCATGGAGAAGACTGCAATTTCTGTTCACATGCACCAGAATGGAGATGGGCACAGCCAGCATTTTCTATATCCATGCCTTGCTCATGCATGTTATTTTAGAATTATACCAGAACAAGCACTGCATTATTCATGGGCAGGCAGAGAAGTGAGAAGAGGGTCAAGTTTGCATCTGAAGTCTGTCAATAAAGTTGGGGAAAGTGAGGTAGTTAAGCATTTTGTGGATTTGTACTAAGTGGTTAGCGAATGTCTAGTCACCCTTTTAATATGCATATACTCTACTACTCAGTCAACATGACATGGTCCTGGGTCTGTCACCATTAAAATAGTATTATTACATTATAAGATGCCTATTGTTTTCAGTTCACACATTTCTTCCTCCTTTTAAAAACCCTCTAATCATTGCATTTCTTAAACATTTTTTCCTTTTCCATGTAGCCGAGTGCTTTCGTTCCTCCAGCTCCCATCACTGCTCCAGTGAAGAGCCTTCCCTCTGAGCCTGACCCCTTCCAGCCTTACCTTAGCAGCAGTCATGATGGTGGTCAGACACCCCCTGGTGCTCCTAAAGAAGCAAGCATACAGGTAGAATCCTAACAGAACTAGAGAACCCTCTTGAGTGTTTTTGCATTTAATGCACTAAGGATCATATTTCCTTTTTGTCAATTTATGCATTTCAGAGTTTGCATTGGCTGCCTGTAGAAAAAATAGAGAAGAAAGAATTACCCCCAGAGCATCTACCTCTCCAAAGAACATTCAGTGGACTTGTGCAGCGCTGCTCTTCAGTGGCATCAGACCCAGTACGTTATTCTACTCTTTGAATTGTTTCATAGCAATGTATAGTAATTTATTTTTGTTAGGTGTGTGCAGGTTTGTGTAAAAAAAAAAAAAATACAAAAAATTAACATGGCACAGCTAAATTTGCTCATTGCATATGCAGATTTTGAGATGCAGCCGTAAACTACAGCCACTGGCAGCACTGCAAAGTCTAAATGAGCCTCTCATTGAAAACCATGCACTCCGTATGTGGCTGATATCTTTTCTCAACAGCTGTTCTTCAGGGAGGGCAAATAAGGCTAAGCTTTTCTCTACTGTTAATATACAATTCTTTATATTTAAAGGAAATATGTGCCAAGAGAAACCTGGAGGATGTCATTGCTACCTTACTCTTCTGAAAATGCTAATTGCCTGGATGTCATGTTGATGTAATGTTGTTTCTCAGTCACTGACCTAGAACATGTATATGTAGACCAGAAGTTCTGACCTCCGTTTGACTTCATGTGCTGCATGCTTTATTCTAAGTCAGTGGCTCAGAAAGTCAAAGAAAGTCAAAGAATCCACATTACAGCCAGACACCTACAGGTTTGTTCACAAAGGGTGAAGAGTTTGGGGAAGGCAGGAGCAGAGAACAATCTAGGACAACATTCTCCAATTCAGCTCACTTTCCAGATCAGCTATGTTGTCCTAGATTGTTCACTTCTGCTGCCTTCTCCAAACTCTTCACCCTTTTGTGAATAACCCTGCTAGTATTCTAGAAGGATCCGCATTGGCAGCCTTCAGGTTTCTCTCAGCTTTGCTTTCCTTGAAAGGAAACCTGTTTTAAGAAAAACATCAGGGGCTGACATTGCTGACCTCCTGAAAATGCTGTCTTGCTTCATTGCAAGTATCCATCCTGTGACGTAAGAGTAAAGTCAGAACTCCTGATCTACATACTTGATCTGGGTCAGTGACTCAAAGTACTGTAGACTGAAGATCAGTATTAACAGCCAGGCAGCTAACATTTCCAGAAGGTGATGTCTAAGGATCATTCACACCGGATCCGTTACGTTGCGATACGTTTTTCAATGGATGCTAATGGGTGGGCACTGAAAAAATGAATGGGTGTGAATGGGGCTAGTTCACACAGTTACGTTGCGTTACGTTGGACTGAACAAAAAGTAGAACATGCGCAAAGGATCAGGTGTGAACTAGCCCCATTCACACCCATTCATTTTTGGTGCCATCTGTTGAAAAACATGTCGCAACACAATGGATCGGAAGGTACAATTGCAAGTCAACAGACCTTCCGTTGACTTGCGATTTCCTTCCAATTTTGGTGTGAATGCACCCTAAATGTATCTTCAAGCCCAGGTTTTCTTTCATTCAATAACAAAAAATATGGAAAACAAAGTATGTGAAAATAGGTAAGTAAGTAAGTTTAATATAGACACTGCAGTAATTAAGAATATGTGCTCCATAGAGATGTATTTTGATTTGTCTATTAATATAGTACTGAATGGGTTTTGCAGCTCCTAGAAGAGGCACAGTCTCTCAAGTAAAGACATACACTGCCTTTAATGCAACACTCTACTTGTTACCCTGTAACTTTCCCTCTATATATGTGCTACCGGATTTATAAAACGGGTCCTAAATCTGAACTGCTGAGAAACCGTACATATATAGGAGCTGTTTTACTTTCTAGAAGATTTGTAATTTTGCTTGAGTACTTAAAACTACATGATATCAAGACATTAGTAACATTTAGAATACTTTAAAACGTTTGGAATTATTTGGGGTAATACATAACTTCATTTAATTGCATTTTAGTTATGTCTGATGTTAGAATAGTTATTCCAAAGTGATATAATAAATTAAGTATTAAATGGTTTATGAAAAGGACATTTTGGCATCATTTATGGATAATGTGTAAATATTTCAGAAGATTGTATGAAATATATTCAAGTATATTGAAAGCTAAGTTGGCATATCCGGCCATTCCCCATCCATCTTGTGCATACAATTTCTATTTCTCATATACATTTGCCTGAGATTACTTGTATAGTAGCAGTGGTTGTCCACTTGGCCCATAAGGAAGCAGAGCAGGGGATTTTGTTAGTGGCCTTACCAGCATGATATACTTAACTGCTTCTCTGGGTCTTCCACTGGAAGGGAAGCGAAGGTGAAATACCTGGTCGATCCAGCTATAGGGAGGGCATGTGACCCACTTCCCTCCTTCCCACAGGACAATCCTGGTGCTTTGGAATTGGCCAGTTAGGCAACTAACCCTGTTAGATGAAGACGGTAGAGAGTCCCTAGCCTTCTGTAAGCTCAAAGTCATAATTTGAAGTTTACACAGTACTAATTCTCCTCCCTGCTCATAGCTTAGAAAAAAGTGTGTCAAACTAAAAAGGTGAAAGAGTGCAAAAGTGTCTTTTGAATGTTTCAGGGGCAACAACACTCCCCCTTTAGCAGGGCTTAGAATGGGACAAAATATACTATAATCAAAAGGATGTGTATATGATTTTATATACAAAAATCTCGGGGCTGGAATTGTAATTGGCAGCAGCATCTGAACGATTTGATTGAGCACAGAAACCCTAGCACCTCTTAAAGTATTTCTCTTCACTGCTGACAGCCAAACAAAGCAACATGGGAGCAAAGGAAAGAATATGCAGCATGTGAGGGTAGCATTTAACTGGGCTTGTTGCCTAGCCCTGCGTGGGTAAAACACAGTTCTCCCCAGGCCTGGTGTTAATGTGTCAGGTTTCTGCAATTTCAGTATTCATTGAGTCTGAGATCTTCCACTTTCTGGTAACAAGTCCTGCTCCTCCCCGACATATAAACAGGGCCTGCAGGAGGCAGCATGTTTAGTGGTCCCTGGTAGTTTTCAGCTTGTGTCATTTCTCCAACACACACAACCCATTTAACAAGTAGGTAGGGCATCATATCACAAAACATCTAATAAACGCTACTGGGAGGGCTTCTGCTTTTCTATTTGAAACGGAATGAAGTATAAGAGGAATATCATTAGGCTTGCTGATCTATAGAGATGCCTGAGGGAAGGGTGCATAGGTAAATCAGCAGGAAGGATGTGCCTTAGCAGGATGAATAATAACCTCTCAGCATGAAGAATGGCATGCAATAGATAGAGACAAAAGCTGGAAGTGAATATACGTGTACATGGGCCCCTAAACTGAGCAGAGTGTAATCATTGAGAAGTGGCCATGCCTCATTTTATCTGTACAATATCTCCCATTCACAAGACACATCTGTTCCGGTAGTGAGGTTGGGAAAAGCAGCATAATAGTGTTTGTGTATTCTGCTGAAAAGTTTTATATAAGCTTTTGTATTATCTGCTCAATTCCAAAAGAGTTTAGCACCAGCTTCTTCTTAAAGGAACTTATTAGTTGTCTGATGTTTTATGAGCTGTAATTTAGCTGCGTATATCTGAACAGCTAGCTCTGAAAAACTGCAGTTAAGCTATTTATTTTAATTTAACTGTAGTTTTGTTTTTAAATTGACATTTTGTACTTTATATTTCATGAAAAAGGAGCCCTCCATACAATGTACTAGAGTAGAGTATCAATTTATGCTCCTGAGTCCCACAGCAGCAGGGCTTAGGCCGCAATGTACAGGAGGGAGTTCTGTCTGATACCACCTACCTCTGCTTATCTGGTTTCTCTGGCAACTGCCACTGTGTATACAATGCACTCTTTCAAAATATTCGGCGAGTACACCCAGACTGGAGTTTAATTTTATGTTGATTTGACAGAAAATATCTAGTATACTTGAAGGGTTTTGTTTATCAATATACTGCTGCAAAGCATTATCATCATTACACTACCCTATTATTACTAAACTATTTGTTTGTCACAAGCTTAATCATTCCCACTTTTCTGACAGACTGGACATTCCCGAATGGGCAAAAGTGGGACTGAAGTATCTTCACTCATTATATGATAAGGGGGCATTTTCATCCTTTAACTCTTATAAACATGTCCACAACCTCCCAGATATGTTCTAGTGTAAATGCAGTATATACATATCTGACATACAGCCACAACCCAGTTTGTTACCCTCCAGACTCTACCCATAGAAACTATTCTTCTTTCTCCTGGCCACACAAAACTAATTTCCAGAACTTACACCATCCTCACGCAGCCACTGTTCTTGACTTTACAAACTCAGAAACCAGTGGTGTAGAGACATTCCAGATTGATGTACAGGATTGGAAAGTATTCTCCAATTCCTATTTTGTTTATGCTCGTCTCGTCTAGAGACAAACTTATCCAACAGTTCTTCCATAGAATGTACTTCACACTACAAAGGTTGTCTAAAATGGGTAAGCATGACACACCTATGTTTCACAAATGTCAGTTTGCACAGGGCAATTTGACACACATGGTGTTGTAGTACCCTATTGGTTAGCAGTTACAAATTTCATATATGCTAACTTCTACATTCGCAATATCCATAACTCCAAGAGATGTTTACTAGATCCCCTGGGAGTCGTTGAAGAGTTTTGCTAAAAAGCACTTTGTCTTTGCATGTTTATGAGGGAAAAAAACAAACATACACTGGAAGAAGACTGCTTTTATAAGACTCGGAGGAAAAAATAGGGTGGTAAACCAAATATTACCACTGTATAGGCTAACATATTTATTGATTATAGGTATTTATATAGTGCCGACAATTTACGCCGCTCTTTTACATAGTTTCAAATTCACATCAGTCTCTGCTCTCAAGGAACTAACAATCTAAGGTCCCTATCTCACATGCATACATACAGGGCCAATTTAGACACGAGCCCCTTAACTTTCCAGCATTTGTTTTGGAGTGTGGAAGGAAAGCGGAATACCCGGAGGAAACCCATGCAAGCACAGGTGAACATGCAAACTCCTTGCAGATAGTGACCTGGCCCGAATTTGAACCAGGGACACCCCAGTGCTTTAAGGCTGAAGTGGTATGTGCTGCCTATTTGAGGCCACAGGCTGCCCTAACAAATTTTAAAAAATATAGGTGGATTTGGTTGGCACTGCGACATTCCCAGGCATACCTCTTAATTACACTTGTTTATAAATCACATCCTCTGCTCTACCACAGCTTAAAATACATCAAGAAACAAAGATGTTGGGTGTAGTATTTACAAATTCTTTATTGGTATATTTTTTAGCCATAGTTGTTCAAAGTTCAGTTGGTTTCTGTCTTGTCTTTTTTTTTTTTTTTCCATTATAGATGACATTGTTTACGAGCATAATTCGTTCCGGAAACATGCTTGTAATCCAAAGCGCTTGTGTATCAAAGTGAATTTCGTCATAGGAAATAATGGAAATTCAGATGATTTCATTCCACAACCCAAAAATATTCATATAAAAATTATTACAATACTGTACAAAATATAAAGACAAATAAATCAATTACCGGTACCTTCGTGGCTGCTGTGAGGGGGACAGGAGAGAGGGGGATTATTGTGTAGGACGACTTTCACTATCACTAGCGGAATCACTGCTATCTCTTGACTCAATGGAAAATGTTCATTTCGTGAAACTGTAACAAGGAATCTATCCAATGTGACATTGCATTGTCGTTAAACAGACTCATCGCTCGCACTGCTACAGCCTTATTCGGGTGGTGCTTTTCTACAAAATGTTGCTCTTATTGCAAGACATTGCTTGTATATCAAGGCAACATTTTTCAGAAATGTTTGCTTGTCTTGCAAAACACTCTCAAACCAAGTTACTTGTAAACCAAGGTATTACTGTATTCACATTTATCCACATATAGCAAAATAATATGCAATCCAGACAGCACCTGCTACACTCCACGGAAAACATCCCTGGTGGATAAACATCATAGCCAATACCTCTCTGCCAAGCTAAATTAATTATTTACTTTTTCAGCATCCTAGAGAGAGCAAATCACAAATGATATAGAGAATGCGGAAGTGTTAAATGCATTCCTTTCCACAGTGTTTACTCGCAAATAAAGATGTTTTTTCTGAACATAACAAGACTGTGAGTAGCAGTGTGCAATATACCGCAGTGGTTGGTAGAAGTTGGGTTTTGACAAGGACTAGAAAAACTTAATGTGAATAAATCCCCTGGACCAGATAACTTACACCCATGAGTACTTAGAGCTAAGATAGGTTATAGCGAGACCGTTGTTCCTAAATTTTAAGGATTCCATAATGACTGGAGGAGCACCAACTGATTGGCGTAAAGCAACTGTTGAACCAATGTTTAAAAAAGGCTTAAGATGTGTACCTGGCAATTACAAAATGGTCAGCCTAACCATCCATAGCATGCACATTATTTAAAGGAATGATAAAGGACTATATTCAAGAATTTGCCTATGGTCATGATATCATAAGTCATATCCTAACAACCAGCATAGATTCATGAAAGACCGTTCTTGCCAAACCAATCTTTTAGTGTTCTATGAGGCGGTAAGTGGCCACTTAGATGGAGGCAAGCCAGTGAACGTAGTGTACCTTGATTTTGCAAAAGCATTTGATACAGTATGCATAAACATTTAATATACAAGCTAAAATCTTTGGTGATTAAACAAATGGTGTGTGCATAGATATAGAGAACTGGCTACGGAAACATGTCCAGAGAGTATTGATAAATGGATTGTTTTCTTATTAGTTGGTTGGCAGTGGCATACCCCAGGGTTCTGTCTTATGGCCATTGCTGTTAAACTTGTTTATTAATTATATTGGTTGGTAGGTATTAATAACAATATTTTAATATTTGTGGACAACACCAAAATTTGTAATGTGATAAACTCGACAAAAGACATGATAATATTACAGGAATACCTGGATAAAATAGGAGAGTGGTCAACTACATGGCAGATGAATGAGGTTAAATATTGAAAATGTAAAGTTATGCACTTTGGTGTAAAATATTTACATGCCAGGTATTTATTAATGGGAGTTCTTCTAGGGGAATCAGAGGTAGAAAAAGATTTAGGGGTCCTAGTTGACAGACTTAGTAACCACATGCAATGCCAGGCAACAGCAAATAAGGCTAGATCGATAATTTGCCCCTTTACAAAACACTGGTTCATTCGCATATTGAGTATGTGGTTCAGTTTTGCTCACTGTTCCACAGAAAGGATGTCCTTCAGCTGGAGAGAGTCCAGAGAAGGGCAGTGAAACTAATAAAGGGGTTAGAGGGCCAAGGCTTTAAGAAAAGACTCCAAACATTAAACTTGTACACTCTGGGCAAGAGGAGATTAAGAGGGGACATACTAGTAATGTACCAATTGTTTTAGTGTTAGTTCAATCAAGAAGACAAGAGACCACCACCTGAAAGTGGACAAAAAAAGGTTTAATCCAAAACTGCAAAAGCGATTATTTACTGTAAAGCTTGCCATACATCTATAGATTATCACGCAGTCATGTATAAAGCTGGTCGTACACCTATAGATTTTCTATGGTCAGATGGAAAAAGTGCATCAGATTCCTCCATCTACACAAAACTCAGTGGATGGAGGAATCTCCCATTGGGCCAAGCTTCAGTATCTTGCTAGTCGGCCCCGCTGGCTCTCAAAATGCCTGAACAGTCTGATTGGATGCCGGCATTGTTCAGGTATTAAGGGCCAGCAGGACCGATTAGCAAGATACTGAAGCTTGGCCCAGCGGGAGATTCCTCCATCCACACAGTTTAGTGTAGATGGAGGAATCTCTTACACTTTTTCCATCTGACCATAGAAAATATGCAGATAATCTATAGGTGTATGGGCAGCTTATGAGTGGTAAAATTGTGGACCTTGCCTCCCCAGGCAATGGTTTCAGCTAAGAGTGTCAACTCCAAGAACCTTTTTAGATGCTTTCTTTAGAGAGCATTATATTCAGGGTACAGGTACTCTTAGTAACTTTCAGTCACTCACTCACTCACTCACTCACTCACATGGGTTGAACTCGATGGACATGTGTCTTTATTCAACCTCAATGACTATATAACAACAATGGAGAAAAAAACAAAAAAGCGCCAGAGAGGACTGCTCAACCAGTACAAACCAATGTACACATGAATAAAATTAGAATCAAAGTCTGTTTGGAAAGTAATATTGGAGTTTAAGGCAAAGCCATTGAAGAAAAGTATATCCTATAGTAAAAGTGAACATCAGGGAGGGCCAAATCGTCCGTCCTTAAAAGTATAGCATATAAACATATCCACAGTTTAAATATAAAAGGGGATTTGTAGTAATCTAACTGTTGGAAATGACATGCTGGTATCCAAAAAAAAAAGGTTAAAGTTCTTCAAAAGAAAGTGTGACTGATGCCTTTTATAAACTTTAAAAGTTGAAAACTAGACAAATGTGATTTGTTCAGGCTTATTTCTCAAAACAATTTGTGACTGTATAAAATATATTGTTTTGTTTTTTTTGCCAGAAAACTAAAAGAAAACTTGAAGACGCTTTGCATAGGTTGGAATGTTTATATGACAAGCTGAGAGAAAATTCTGTAAGTATGAACTGCTGTGAAATTCAGATCTTACATGTCCTCTTTTGACGAGGTGACATTTAAGCCACTTTATAGACCACCGCTCTCCTTCTCTCCAGCTTGTGGGTGCACTCTCCTCTGGGGTGTGCTCCTCCCATACACTTCATTAGTTTGTGACAAAGCTGCACACCGCCTACTTGAAGTTAAAATCAACTTTTTAACTCACTATTTGGTGCTTGAAAAAAACTGACTAACTGCTATCAGGAAGCACTTCGTCCATCCCCTAATGCACCATACTGTAGTGTCACTATCACTAATTTGCATTCCCTGAATGGTGCATTAAATAACAGTTACTAGGGATGTTCAGTTACCAGTATCTGTACCGGTGCCGATACTTGGCATTTTCACGAGAACTACCAGGGTTGCAGCTGCGACGGGGCTCTGGCGCTCCACCACTGTCCTGAAATCATTAGTCTGTATTGTTTTGGGGGAAAAAATGTTCTAGTGTTATCGATAATTGGTATCTTTGAGTACTTGGACAAGTATCGGTACTTGTACTTGGTTTAGAAAAAATGGTATTGGTGCATTCCTAGAAAGAAAAAAAATATAGATAGATATAGATAGATATAGATATATCTATATCTATCTATACATATATATAATCTCTATATCTCTATATATATATCCCTATAGCCAATGCTCCTTAAAAATGACAGCTGCCTTCTAACTTTTGAGTTTTTCTCTAGTCTAGTCTTTCAATGAAGCTGGAAAAGTATTGGTACTTTTACAAAGTACGGTACTTGGTATCTGTGCATCCCTAACAGTTACACATTAATACCTACTGTATATACACCTTTAATATACCTACAGTCATGGCCGAAAATATTGGCACCCCTGTATTTCTGTCAGATAATGCACCACTTCGCACAGAAAACTGTTGCAATTACAGATGTTTAGGCATGCTCATGTTTATTTCTTTTGTTTGTATTGGTATGAAACAAAAAAGTGGAGAAAAAAAAATCCAAATCTGACATATTCCACGTGCAGTGTGGTAGTGATATTTTTTAGACAGTGCAGTCTGGAGCATTCTTCTCAATGACACGCCTGGCAGAGTCTTCATGGTGCCCACATCTTTATTTTTATAATGGGCCTTTGGTGGGTTTAGAAAAAAGCTGAAGTTAAAGTGAAATAAGCCTTGACGGTCTTCCTTATAATGCTAATGTTTATGTTTTATGCTGTCCTTTCTCCCTACCAGCTCACTCCGAATATCCTGAATGGACTACATGAAATCGCCCATTACGTGGAGAGCCGAAATTACCAGCAGGGTCTTGTTGTCCATGCACAGGTTGTCAGCAGCAGCAACTTCAGTGAAGTCTCCAGTTTTATGCCCATATTGAAAGTCCTTATGACTATTGCCAGTAAGTTGGGCGTGTAAAACCAGAAAGCCTTTTGGACACTGCTATGGTTGAATTACCCGTCTTTGGCACAGGTGCCGCTCTCCTCATACCTGTGTGCTCGCTCATACACATACATATGAGGTGTGCACTGCATACTTCTGCGGCTTCTTAAAGATCCTTTTCCATTTTTTTCTTTTTTCTTTTCTCAGCTGAACAAGTAACCAACATAGAGCCATCTTGATAAAGATGGCCTTGCGTATCAGCCATAAAAGTTGTGCCTTGTTCGTGCCAATTAACCACACAAGGCTGTATGTTAAATCGCATAAAGGAACATAAATTAAAGACCGCTATCATAAGACAATCTTTATACCCCTTTCTCCAGTGTGTGGTGTAAGCCTTTTATGCTAAAGGATATTGAAGACGTGAATAGTTACTCGACAGCTGTTTTTTTTCCCCCCCTAACTTTATACAGGGCTTTTGTTTGGTTTAGGTTCTTGGTGTGGCTTCAGCTAGCTATAAGCATTATTATTGAAGAACTCCACCTGAAACTGCTTAGCTAAGTGAGAACAATGATGAGGTGGTATGTACTTTGTATGTAAACTTATCTCTACAGCTTCATTGTATAGATCAGGATCTGTGAGGTTATCAATTGTAACTCTTCTGACATTGGCTGTCAGTACTACACCATCCCCATTCACTACAGTGGGGTATCCTGTAATACACCAACGTGTAGACTGCCAGGGAGCTTCACAGCGGAGCTGCAGAGGTCAACAGTATACACAGAGTTCCCACTGAAGTAAATTCTCTTATTGAACAGAATTCCATTATCTGCTTGCATTGTCTTTGATGGGGAAATGCTGTTCCTCAGCAGGAGCAGGGTCCTTGGATCTTTTTTTAAATAATATTTGCTGCTTACAAATTTATGACCAGCGGTGTGAAAACCTTATTTTTATTTTTAAACCTCAGTTTAAATAATTCTTATTTAATATGGTGTGGTTGTACTATAAAAAAAATGCTCAGGTAGCTATTATATTGTCCTTTGTTTAAATTATTTGTGTTATTTAACATACGTTTATGAAAGCACAATATACTGAATAAATAGACCATGAAAAGGTTGCGCAGTAGATATCAGGCTTGCAGTGTCTGAGGCACCAAATATTTCAGTTTGTGTTTACATACAGCATTGCAGTGAGTCGGGTACTAGTGGACTACATTTAAATGGCTGGAATTACTGAAACGCATGAGTTCTGTTTATTAAAGGGGAGACATAACATTCGTTTTTATTTTTGCAAGTTTGCATTGATGGTCTTCAAATAATAAAAGAACATAGAGCAGGTAAAAGAAAATGATAAACCAATATTTAGGTCCGGGGTAGGTAACCTAGGCACTCCAGCTGTTATGGAACTACAAGTCCCATAAGGCATTACAAAACTCTGACAGCCACAGGCATCACTCTCAGAGGCATATTGGGATTTGTAGTTTCACCAGAGCTGCCTAGGTTGCCTACCCCTGATTTTGGTCAATTCTGTTGTAGCAGACATTTGGACAGCACACTAACTTTTCCTACGTAAACAAAGCGGACCATTTGGATATGATATTTTAGTTGTAAGTGGAGTCTGGCAGGCTTCTTTTCTTGGACTGTGTTCCATTATCCAGCTACATGATCTAGAATACAAAATATATTTGATAAAATCCAAAAGGGAGGGTGGGAGGACGTCATAGTGGTCATAGTGGTCACAGTAGGTATGCAGCTCGGGAACTCCAGCATAGAGCTCTCACCAATTGAGATTAAACTGTTCGGTGAAATAACTCTCCAGTAGCATCAGTCTTGGATGGGCTTACACCTAAAAGTAATCATGCTGCCTTATTCTTTTATGTTTCTGCGCTGCACCATGCAAGTCAGATTCATATTTTGAAGGTATAGGCCTCAGAGATTGGCCACCCTGTCTAAAAGCGTGGCGGAATGCACTGGATCGTATCTTGGCCGGATACTGCGTTCATGGGTGGAAGGGGTCCTGACGGTGTATTGAAGTCAATGGCACCGCAGCCATCGCCTGCACCCGGATGCATGGCACATCAATGTCTGTGTTCCGGTTCGGTGCAGTCAGAAAAAAAATTTCTGACTGCACCAGACCGGAACGCAGGCATTGATGTGCCATACGTTCGTGTGCTGGGGATTACACCACAGCCGAGGGGTGTGGCTGTGGTGCCATCTCCATGCCCCCTCCCAACGCAGGGAGCTGGCCGGGATGCAATCCAGTGCGTTCCAGCACCAAATCGGGCCGGAACACACTGGTGTGAACCAGCTCCTAAATGTCTCAGATCCAAAAAATTCCTCTAGCTGTAATTTACATGTGTACGCATGTACATGTATTTACACACGTTTAGATGTATCCATGTGTAAATTACTGGCTATGGACGCAGATTTGGATATTTTGATATTGCAGATACTGACGCAGCGCACTTTTACTGTTGTAAATGCAGCCTTGTGCATGGGCACATAGCATACAATAGTGCTGCACTCAGATCTGACTATACGATTTACAGATCTGTCTGCAGCATTTTTTTTACATTCGTGTGCATGAACCCTTATAGGATGGGATTTATCGAGAATGTGGTGGAGTGAATAACCCTCAACTGGGAATGTGGCCCTTGAGTCCTGTCAATAGAATCATGCTTTTTCACTGACCACTTCATTTGTATTTTCATAGGAAGCATTTCAGTCCCAGTTCATGATATACTGAATAATAATCCCATTTAACTTGACAGTTTAATGTTTAAGACGTTTCACTGCTCAGCCAAGTAGCTTCCTCAGCTCTAGAGATTGTCAGGTACATACTCCATCATAAATGCTGGCATACATTCTTGACCATCCTTAAAGTTGGGCAAGCTATTTGGTTGAACAGTGAAAAGTCTTAAACATTTCAGAGCAGGTCCAGTTGAATGTGACAATCTACAACAAAGTATAGTAGGAGGCATGTCTTGAAGCTGTTATGAATGCGCTGCTGATCGTAGATCTCTGCTGTTCAGCAAAGGCAAATTCCCCCAACTTATCATTACTTCAAGGACCCTGATTACCCTGGCATAGCTTACCACCTGACCTCACAATAGGGCTGCTGCGGCAAGGAAACTACTGAGGGGTTTGTAGTTGTATCCGCTCAAAATGTTTAAAGCTGAACTCCAGCCCTACTATCAGTCTTGCAGTTGTACAGGTTCCTCTCCTTTACTGAAATTGCTTATTTTACTGCACACTGTAAGCTTTTCACAGTGTACTTCAAAAAAAGCAGTGAGCAGAAAAATCCTTTTTGCATAATGTCTCCCAAGAGCCTGCCTCCTGCTTGCTTCATGACTAAAGGAGTATTGCTATGATAGGTACAGCACCCTGCTAGTCCATCCCACCATCCTTGATCTGCCGGCATTGTATAGAGAAGCACAGAAACCTAGTGATGATATAACTGGATCTAAAATAGAGTAATGTAATGAAAACCAGTTTATTGAAAAATTTTATTAGCATGGTAAAACCAAGGAAGGCAAAATATAAGCGGATTAAACCTTAGCTTTAGTTTTCCTTACACAAGTTATGAAAATGAAACCTGCTCTTATAAATTAGGCTTGGTCTGTGACCCCAATTTTCAAGAGCAATAAAACAGCTGTTTTCATGCGCAGATGTTTTCCAGTTTGTTGGCAAATCCTGGTGTTCAGACACCTATTTACTTTTGTGTGGGGGAACAGGCTGCATATTTATAAAGATTGACGTAACGTAAAATGACACTAACATGTTACATCTTATGATATTTTAGCAATTGGGTTTTGATCTAATTTATTGAAAACCAAACCTAAGATGTTAATCATTCTGACCACATTGTATAGTAGGGAATGGGAGCTTTGATGTTGGTGTTTACTTTCCTGCAGCTCCACGTTTTATTATTCAGACATAATGGTGCTCTGAGTGTTCTTATATATGAAGGTACAGGCTTTTGTTGTTGCTTCGATTGAGCAGGTATCGTCAGAATGGAGACTTCTTCTGGAAATCATTTCTATTCTAGTTTTCATAAGCTTTTAAGGAACATTTTGCTCTAACTTGGAGTGGCTAACGGTTCATACCGACTTGTGTCATTGTCCAGATAAACCACTGAAAACGATGTTGTGAAGAGTCATATATGCTCATTCTGTCTAATTGCTCCAGGAATTCAGTTTTTGCAGTAGCAACCAATAATGGTGTATGTTGATTTGACGCTTGAAATGTGAAGGAAAGGCCAAAGCTGAAAGATACATATTTTTAGCACCCAAGACCACGTATATGTGGTGATTGATGCTGCCCTAGTATGACTGCATCTTCTACCTTGGGCATTAAGTATCTCCAGTCGTGAAGACCAGAGGAGATCCTCACATTGAGAGGTTTTCTGCAGGATGAAAAAAAAAGATTGATCTTGTGAATCAGATCAAGTATAGGCAATCCTATTCTGTGTGCTAAAATGTATCTGGTTGCCCCATACAGCACCGCCATGCCATTGAATATAGCCCTCATTGTGCTTAGGGACGGGTTCCTCATTAACAAACTGATCCTGAACTACATGTATACTTTTATTCTGTGCCCTTGTGGCTATGAAGGGATTTTCTCCAGCAGGCTTTTGGTTAATGCAGACATTTGCAAACGTTTCTAAGATAGGTGTTACCTAGATTTGTCATGGAAGGTCATTGCATGCCATGAAGCATTTTCAGACCATAGGCAATAATCTTTTCTCAGTGTACATTTCTATTAGATGGCGTTTAACTTTCCAGTTAAACAATACTACATTGCATCTGAATCTACACCCTTCTTCTGCCAGTCAAATCCTTGCCCAAGGTTTACCCACCTAGTTGCAAAATGTACTGAGGGGAATTTATCAAACCTTGGAGCAGACAAAATCTGGAGCAGTTGCCCATGGCAACCAATCATTCAGTTAAGATTCGAAAGCGAGAAGCTGATTGGTTGCCATGCACAGCTGCTCCAGATTTAGTCTGCTCCAGTTTGATAGATTCCCCTCACTGTATATACTTTATGTACCAGTGAAGGTTGGTGCTATGGTGAGTTCAATCTTATTTTTTTTGAGAAACCTGTTCTTAGAGAATACATGGCCATGGTCTTTGCTAAAGGTGGCCATACACTTTACAAAACATGCAAGACTTTTGTCTTGCTAGGGTTGTAAAGTAATGTAAAAAACGTACGATCTGCCCATCTTGGACGGGCAGATCGTACTTGCGATCATCAAAAGCCGCCCCCCTGAGGGGGCGGCTTCCGATGACTGCAATGCTGAACGGGCAGTGTGCGCTTGCGCAGACCAGCCCGTTCGGCAGTTGTCGAACAAGCAGGCCATTCTCGGCGGGTTTTCCAGCCTGCTTGTTCGATGGAAGATGTGCGACCGTACAGAACAAATGGTTGCACGCCTTCCATACACTTTGATATTATCGTACGATCGCGGGATTTCCCGCGATTATCGTACGATAATCGTACAGTGTATGGGCACCTTTTTACGCTCCTAAAATACCAGCTGTTTAGCATTAATGCTGATTCAGTGGCTTCAATACTTTCTAACCCACTTACCTAGGAAAAGTATGCAGTTTAGAAGTTATGACTTCCCTCTTCTTTTCTAATCAGCATCCTCTTCCAGGTCAGCAA